CCCCCCCCCCCCCACATCAAAAAAGAAATAATATTATTTTGGCCTAACTCCACCACAGAAGCTGGCTTAAGAGTGCAGGTTTGACCCTCCTTATATAGTGGTCCCACATCCCCCTCTCCCACCCATATGAGACTCTAACAAAATAACAGAGTAATCTGTCTACAGGATGATATGACAAATGGCTTTTTAACTCATCACATATGTATATCTTAAATTTATATGTCCAAGTTTGTAAAAAAAGAGGTCTCATCTTCACATAAATCAACTTTCTACATCTAAGGACAAGATACAGAAAAATGAGGGTAACCTTTGAATTCTGAGGCTTTTTCTGGCGTCAAGTAATCCCATGTCCTTTCCAGGGCCTTTCTAATCTTTAAGTTTGTTTCTCCATCTAAGTTCGCGGTCTGCACTCATAAAGTGAGCACAAGAAACACACACCAATTAAGAACAATATTCTAATCCAGAAGCCTGGAAGAGATGAAAAGGTTTGTTTCAGAAGAATCACCTCAACGTAGCAGATACCATCAGGATTTGTGCTGGACAGGAAAAGAATATCAGCTGGAAAAAATCCATCCTGTTTTACCTGAATAACTCGACACAAAATACAGAAAAAGCTTACAGACGTACAGTTCAAAGATAATCCAGAAAAGGCATTCTGTCAGAACAGAATGCCATGAAAGCGGAGGTAAAATTTCACATCTACAAGAGAAAGAAAGTACCCACCCTGACGATGTCCCCAACCTGCAACTTTCTCCAGGGAATAGGTACCCAATTTTGATCTTGTAAGACCTCTATTAAACTATTATTTATGGCCATATCATTTTGAAAGCGTTTCTGCAACAGATTATTCACAGAAGGATTTAGAAGCTGGGAAGATAGTTGACTATTCTGAATAAACTAAGTAATTCCATGTCAATGCAAGGAGAAATGATGTATTTCGGCAATACAAAAGTAACAAAATAAAAGATGAACAGAAACTCCAGGCTCACCCAGTCTTCAAATGCCTCTTTAATGAGTGAGACAAGAAGCACCAGTGACAGCGGAGCGACATTTGTTATTGGATTTACGGGACTGCAGAACAAAAACTCTCTCTGGTTTATATTTAGTGATTCCAAGACAAGATAATAATTACTATTACCCATCAACAAGGACATAAGGACAACAGCATAAAGATTCACATACAATTTACACACTAAATTGGTGCTATACACCAACATAATTTCATGATATAAACATATCTGAGAAATATAACAAAACTAGATTTCACACCACGGACGAAAAGGGTAACATAACGACGACATAAATATTGACATTCACACACGGTTAGAAACTACTTTTCTTCAATATTAAACAACATAATACTAATTGCAGGCAATGAAGATGATGCTGGTGTTTCCAATAGAAACAGATCACGAAAAGGAAAGTCGTCAAGGTTGATACTTGATACCATATGATCAAATAAAATCAATCACTACATGACGTAACCTCACAAAACCATAAAATACAGACAAGATTAGCTTTCACATGTAGTCAAAATTATTAGACTTCCCGGAGGTGACATACCTTATCGGTGTCATTGATAGACATGAGATTGCAAGAAAGTATATATTTGCTATGCGCCTAAACTGTCAAAAAACACATTATTTCTCAGATGGGATGAAATAAAATAACTTTCGACAGGAAAGCATAAATAACAATAAACATAAGCCACCACGTCATGAACAATTTTGATCCTAATTCTATACTTTTATCCCTTGTCTTCAAACATAAGGGAATCGTAGACAACAATACCCCACACATTCCTGCGGAGGGTTGGATAACTTAGGAACCAAAGTTACCAAACATCTCTTGGAACTTGGAAGAGATACAATTTCCTTTCATCACTCACAAACCAAAGGTGCATTCTACAATTCTTAAAAAAAAACGATTATGCCAGTAAAAAGGGTCTTACCGTTGAGAATCAAAGACTCACACGAGTGAAAATTTATTTCATAGAATTGCATAAATGCATGGATGACAGAGCAAAAAGGGCAACTTTTACTACATAGATGGATTACCAATGACATGACCTGTACATTGTAAAAGCTTCCAAACGAATCTAAGCTAAATTTCTATTTAACTGATTCCTAGCAACTCCTGGTCTCATTCAACTCCCAAGATTGCCTAAAACTTGCTCCTACATTTCAGGACATCTTTATTTGCTAAAGCTAAGTTAATGACCCTTCATTCCTCACGAGAAGATCCAACAACAACGCGAACTTACCTGTTCAAACAGCCCTTTGGGAAGAAATGTTAAAACATTGTACTTCGTTGTAGATATGGAATTCACCTGAAACAAATTCACCCAACATTCATCAAGAAAAACTCATAATATCAAGAAAACACAAATCATATTATCAATAGAAATTCATCTCGTCCATATTCAGATACAATATAAGAAACCCAGAGAACAAAAACTCGAAATCCCATTTCCTCGAGGAACCAAAATCGTCAATGAACACCCCCGCGTCACCAAAGATTTTTATGGCGTACCTTAAACCGTACGGGGGCATTACCCTCGCGATCGTTGCAGTAGACGGTACGGTACGTCGGAGCCTGCGGCTGAATACGGCCCAAAGTCACCGTACGCGACGGAGTCCGGCGATGATTCGCCGTCGACGACGAATCTACGCTTAATCTCCCTGACCTAACCATTCGGCTTCAAACCCGATCCAACGAAGTCTCACGCTTCGAATCGAATCCCAACTTCAATCTTTCTCGGGACTCGCTATGAAGATTCTTCCGATTTCCGAGGCCGAGATCTACAATAGACGGTGGAAACAGAGAGGACCAACCTCTCCTTCGTTTCAACCTCTTCTCGATTTTTTCCCTCCTCGTTTTTTTTTTTGTGAGCAGTTATGTTCTTCGTCTCAAAAAGTCGCTTCAGAAAATAATTATATTTTAATAAAATAGAAAAATTTTCAACTACGTGTTTAATATTCTGTTTCTCGTTATTTTTACCCAATGAAATAGAATAATCTCCAGGTCCGCGTTTCATGAAAATGAAAATCACGCGCTCGATTTCCGCGCGTGATCTACATATGTCAACTATATATATATATCATATATACACATATGTATATATATGTATATATGAAACTTAGAAATTAAAATGTGTAAGAATAATACTAAAATTAACTTCAAATATTTGAAATTCAGTAGCTGACAAAAAATGAATTGTGTCTGCAAATTTTATTTTAATTTGAGTTGTGGAAATCTTGGTAAAAAAAAATATATCTGATTGCAAAAAATGACACTTTAATTTAATAATACAGAAAGATATTAGATTTTGAATGCGACTAAAACTATATATCTTTTAAAGGTTGTGTGTACGTATTAATTTTAAATTTAATTTCGGCGTGGTTTGCAAACGTGAGGGCTAGCATTAATGTCTTCATTAGTATATCCATTTAATCAATAAAATTAAAATAGGGTCTAGTGAAAAGTTTTTGTTTATTGTCTATTTAAATGTGAAATGAGTGGACAATTATGAAGTTAATCATAAATGGGCGCAATTAATTGGATACAATAATTGAATTTATGTAAATTTATAGAGAGATCAAGTACGCTATTATTTTCATTAATCATTATGTCACAATAGACAAGTATCAGAGAGTTTGAGTTTATTTTTTATTTATAAAGTTACAATCAATATGAGCATATTTTTAATGATTCGAATAAAAAAATTTAAATCTATTTTAGTTGTGATATGAAAAATATAATGAAATCCATTTGGAAAATTTCCATATAAAATTATGATTTATTAACAAAATAAAAGATAAATATAAATTTTTTAAATTTTCTATGCAACACATAATTTTTTTTTCTAATTTTCAAATTAAAATTTGTTTTTAATTAGGATAGTTTCATAATTTAGTTAAAAAGAAAACATAATTTTATGATTTGATTTGAGAATTTATAAAATCATATTGTTTCTGAAATTTTTAACTACATTTGTAATTATATAAGAATTTTTTAAGTAGAACTATCTAGCACATCAAATGGAAGATTGATGTTCATGTTTAATTGAATTCAAGCATATAAACCCGTTAGAATCACAAAAATTAGGTTTAGGGTTTAGGGTCTTCAAATAGAATATTCCATTCTTTTATTTTCTAGGTCATGATTTGACCATTCACATCACCGAAAATATTCTCTAGTCGTTTGAGCAGCACGCATGTGCCCCGCGCGTGAGAATTATCGGAATGTCAATGGTTTTCAATTTGTTTAAAAAAAATAGCGCATGGGGGTTCGGGTCCAATAAACCAAAGTTAGGGGAGGAAACTATAAAGGAATAAAAGTTAAGGGGTGGTTTAGGTGTAGGTGTTACGCGTCTGTGGTGACGTGAGCCGCGTTTTTTTTTTTCCCGGCGTCCTGGGTCCTGGGCGCAACCTATTTGGACTATTGAAATTTCATAAATTAAATTCTGGAAGGAAAAAAAAAAACACATAAGAAACTTAATAAAAAATCTAAACTCTTTTCCTTTGAAATGAATATATTTTAACTATAAAAAAAATTTCATTAATTTATTTGAATTAGACCCTGAAATTGGACTAATCCTATTTGGGAATTCGGTCTTAATTATTGGGAAGAACTGGTAAATATAATCATGCAAATAAATAAATAAATAAATGGGCTGTTCCTTATACAGATCTGTAGACTCTCTGGGCCGTCTCCAAATACTTGGGCTAGGTTTAAGAAGATATATCAGAATCTAGCTTCATCTTCACAGAAAAAAATTTGGAAACTGGGGATTAATTGGATTTTTTTTTTTTGTAACCGAATATATTGCATCAAGGTCAAGAATAATTTCAGAATCGGGAATCATCTCCCTCTTTAAATTTAAAATTTGAATTCGGGAAGAAACAAATATTTTACGTCTGTATTACTAGTTGAACTTAACAAATTTGGATTTAATTTGATTTTTTAAATACAATTTAGTTTGGTTTCTACTCTGTTTAATTTCGGTTTTTTATGGATAAAATATTTTTTAAAACAATTTTGGATTTTTTGTTTTCGGATTCAATTTTTTCGGTTTACAAAAATCAAATCAAATTTTTTTTATATCAGATCGGCTCCAATATAAATAATTTGAATCAGTTCGGTTTTGCATATCCATACAGAAAATGGCCATCTCATAACAAAGAACAAGATTTTGAAGAGGAATCAAAAGATTTCATACGAAATGGTATGAATTAGCAAAAAATATATGTTCACGACCCCCCAAATTTTATTCCTAAAACATTTAAGAATTACAGAATTTCATGAGAGAGAACGTTTTCATTTTGCAAGAGGAAAACGGCTTCATTTTCAAGAAGAAGCTGCTTTCATTCTTCTTCCTTCTATTTTTTCAGACAGGAAAAGCCAAGTTGAAACAAAATGAACATGTTCCTCGCAGTTCCAGAGCTTTTCTTTGTACCAGTCTTTGGGACAGCGACCAAGAAAACAGCTTTCAGTTCCCTTGCTTGACATGGAAACTAGGAATCTAATCTTGCTTTTCCTCCGAGCAGTAGGGACGGGTGTGTATACTCGTATTTATATATGTATTATTGATATTTATACGTATGCTTCTTCTCGAGGTTACCTTTTCAAGATGGAAGAGTTCTTTATCAACTTAAGACGTTCTGTCGAAACCTCCTCCTCCTACCTGCATGTGCAACCACTCTGGTGATGCTCCCCTTATGTAATCCCTTGTAGGCTGTGACCCGAATTGCATTCCCGGGTCTTCAAAATGTTGCTGAGCAAACTGCAATCACCCGAAAGAGAGGAAATTAGCCAACAAATACTGGCCAAACATGCATCAAGGAGAGCGCTAGAACAGGGGCTTAAGCTTTGTCAAATCTTAAGGGAAGAACAACTAGAAGATTCTCCCGAAGCAGAGTGGGTACAAACAGACGAAACTACGAGTTCAGCCACGTGATTGAAGGTCGAAGCAAATGAACTGGATTCACATCAGATGCCTGTGATGTATTTGGGATATCGTTTCATCGGTCTAGCTTTGCAATAAAAGATCTACACAAGAGCTTTTCTAGAAACACAAGAGTATAGGGACATTGTTCCAGGAAAGATCAATTCAAGCCAATAATCTAAAGGGCTCACCTCTTTCGGTGGGAATACTTCAATGCCTGGGGTCATTCTCGAGTTGACTGCTTCAAGTTTCATCGATAGGAACTGAAATTGCGAGCAGACTTAGCAAACAATTAAGCAGCAATAAGACATAAACAGCCAACAGACAAGGGAGTTTCACTTCACCTCGACTTGACGCTGCAATGATTGTATATAATTGATAATCTCATCAAGAACAAGCGCTTTCCCGATAACCTGAAAATTTACTGTCAGTTTTCTACTGATACAGAAATAGTCTTGATAACCACAAAAACTAAAGCAAAGATCTATAGAATCCAAGATGATACCTTGTTACAACCCGGAACGAGATCTTGCAAGATTTTCATCCTCTCACTTATTTTCTCTCGTCTTGCCTGTCAAGAAAGAAGATCCGGTTATCGATCTGGCATCCCCAACAAGTTTTCACGCCTGGCTGCACAGCTTAAACGAGTTCAAAGAAAGCAGTATCGATACCCTTTCAGCTAGACTGTGGCTATCAGTCGCCTGACCCCTTCTTGCTCGGACGTGAATATAATCTTTCAGGGCTTCAGGCACCTGCTTCTTTTGCTCTGCCCCCTTCATTGCTGGTTCCGTTTCAGCTCTCCCGTCACACCCTTCATCTCCACACCCTCCCGTCTTCTGCCTTTTACTATCACCATCATTCTGCTCAGTCGAAAACCGAAAAGAAAAACTAACATTAGAAACAATTCAAACACACAGAAATTGGTTTTCTAGTGTACACACCCTTAAACCCATTGTTATGCTTACTACTCTTTTGCTGGTTATGAATCAGAGCTTATGCACACCACACCACGCAATAGATCACGAAGTGAACAAATAGCAATCACCTAAAATATCAACCGCGTAAAGCCTTAAACCAAGAGGGTGTCGTTTGAAAAGATGAAACTTAGATATTTTAGTTTCAGTAATGGCAGCATACGAACAATTTCCAGGGCCAATACTTGAAGATTTCGGACAGAGAAAATGCTAAATCATCGGGTGTTCCAATCAATACACAACGAAATGAATATACTAAATAAAGACGAAGAAATCCAGTGAACCGAAAAGGACCACAGGAACAAATTCCATACCGCGCCGTCGCCGTTGCTGGTGGAGACGACCTTAGCCGCCTCGTCCTCCGGCGCGACTCTACGCTTCCTCGAGCCGGAAACACCCGAAACCGCAGCTTGCGGCGGCAGCCCGTGGCTCAAACAAGCTGGAACACCGCCACAGGTGGTACCATCTAGACTCGAGTCAGCGAACTGCTGCGCCAGATTGGGACCACCGAACACAACTCCACCGCCTCTCATCGACGAATCTCCCACCGGAGCTCCATTAATCGGAAACTGCCAGATCTCAGACAGGTTGTATGGTCCGCCTTCGTTCATCATCCCACCCGGATCCATCAACCAAACTCAAAACCGCTTTAACACGTACGTTTACTTACTAATTCAAACAAACAAACAAAGAACAGTGGCCGGCGACTCGACTCAGTAGCTTCCCGGCGAGAGAGAGAGAGAGAGAGTTTACTGTTTCTTCGTGAGTGTGCGATCTCCTAAGACAGTGGAGTCTGATGCGCACTGGATCCCTCTTCAGCGACTATTTTTCTAAATATAACAGTTTATTTTTTTATTTTTAAATCTATTTTCATTTTTATATTTATTTTTTATATTTTATTCCTCCCTCGGGAGCTGCGGGTTAAGTCACTTCGTAGCGAGGTTTTCTCGGACCATCGTACCAACTTTTATCCTCTGCTTCGCAGTACACCTACACTCATCTTTTACCCACCGTCCGATCGTACAAGATCAATATCCTCCGTGTTGGTAATGCCACGTCAGATGCAACTCCAAGTACGGAAATTATGGCAACGAGATTAGTGACAAGTGGGTTTTGATTTAATTAGTGGCAAGTGATTATTCGATATACTTATAATGATTAGTCCATGATAACCATATTTTTATGGGTTTAATGACGTGTAATTAATCTCAGATGGAGACAGGATAATATCTGATATTATTATAGCCCATAGTTAGAGTTGATCTGTACATAACTTTAATCTTTTTATGTTTGGAAAACACGAGTGGACTATATTTTGTTGAAGCTTCTACAATATTTAATTTGTTAAATGGATAAGAAAATTGAATTGAATGTGTAACATTCAACAAATCTCTATTAAATAAATATATGTGAAAATCTAAAAGGCGTATGCAAAACATTTTAAAAATAATTTTCACGTTTTTATATTTTTTTTGAACAAAAACTCGTAAAGACAAAGATATCACCTCCTCGATTATCTATATATATAACCGTTATTTTATTATATAATTTGATGACAAATATATTGTTTATTTTGTCTTGCCTTCAATATATACACACGCATGGGCGGGCTTAGAAAAATATGTAAAAGGGGCAAGCTTATTTTAATTTTAATATGAGGGGCATTTGGCAAATGTATTTAAAATTTTATAAAATCAATAAAGAAAATTAATATTTCTTAGATAGATTAAGGGGGTCTGCGTAATAGATTATCAAATAACCAAGTAAAATATAATCGTGTAAAACTCAAATTGATATAACTTTTCTATAATCCTGCAAATTAATAAAACCATGAAACCATACAACTTTCTATAATCAATAACTGCAAATAAATTGAGGCTTTGAATGATTGGAGTTTTTAGAGTTGTTAAAATCCAAACACCAAAAAAAAAACTATCATTAAAGTTTTTATAAAATTATTCTTTTTAACTTGGAAAGTCATTTTGGTGAAAAAAATTAATGGAAAAGTAAAAACTATTTTTTTTGGATTTACAAATATTATAAAATCTAAAATCCAAAAAACTAAAACTAAAAACCCAAAATAAAAATCATCCACGTTCAAAGCCTCAAATTGAAAACTTTGAATATGAATCGAAAATCGAACAAGCCTTACCCAAACCGAAAATAACCGAACAAAAAAATATATATATTTTTTTAAAAAAATCCGTAATATACATCCGTATAGCTAACAATAATTCGAATCGAGGTTTATAACATATAGTACCAAACGTAATCCATTCCTCCTATAAAAAAACAAAAAGAGAAATGTTGGACAAAAACTTTATTTCCATAGAAAAATAAAACAACAGAAAAAGGAAAGAAAGGAATAAGAACAGGACATCGTGCCTAACCCTCGCCTTGCCATTTTTGACATGGAAGACTCGTTGCACGTTTCCTCTCTCCTTTAAAGCCCTTTGTTGATCCTTCCTCGCTTAGAGACCACGGTCCTTTCCTTATTAATGGCCACCCAATCGTGTCTCGACACGTGCTTCCCCGGTCCACATCGACATCGACGTGACGTGAGCTAGCTAGCTCCACGGAATCATCGCCTTATACTTGTATCGTATCGTATGTGCCTAATTTTTTTTTGAAGGAAAAGAAAAACGTGATGGAATTATAGGATTGAGACTTTGGGTTTTACGGTTTCAAATCTGGTTTAAATCCAAATTTTGAATATTACAAATATTCGAATGTTTGAAATGATTCAAGCGATGGAGATATCATTGTTGGAACAATGAGAGAGATCGATATCAAACTCTAGTCGTATAAATTTATAAAATAATTATAATTTCATAAATATATTTATGTTAAACGTAGATGGCATTTTAATAAGTGTTTTACTTATGTGTTGAATGGATGAAGTTTTTATTTTGAGTTTTTGGATTTGGTTTTTGGTTTTTAGATTTTAGTTTTTGGTTTTTATAAATTTGTAAATCCAAAATAATATAGCTTTTAGTTTTTAGTTCATTTTTTTCCATAAAGTAGTTTTTCTAGTTTTTAGGAAAACTAAATTTAAAACACTTGATTGACAATTTTGTGAGTTTTTAAAATCTAAAAACTCTCTCCATTTAAGGCCTTAATATATGTAGATTATCTATCCAAAAGCCAGATCAATCCAAATTCGAATCTAACCAATGGTCGAATAATCTATATCGAGTCACGGATATTTTTCTAACAAGTGTCTAATTTTGAAATACGAAAAAAATAGGGTATTTTTGCCAAACCCTAGTTATAGAACAAGATAGATAAACGTTTAATGTTTCGTTTTTTCCCATTAAATTCGACTTTCTTAAGAGAATTTAAATAATTTATAATTACAAAATGATACAAGAATTCTGAACTATAGTATAAAAAGTATATAAGTATGGGTTCATCATTATACATCTATATACACATGCATACGTGTGCATGTGATTAGTAAAAAAAATGCCATTAGCTCGTTGTTTGTCTAACGATTGTACATACGTGGGACTTCACAAAAAAAAAAAAAAATTCTACCATATAACAACAATATAATAATGATAACTTTTTTCTTCTAACCACAGAAACTCATTTCACTATCTTAGATATACATTCGATAAAAATATTCGAACCTATTTATAATTTATCCATTACACAAATTAAAATAAGTGACAGTATTCAAAAGTCGAGATGATTCTTAAGCGTTGGAGTGCGAAGTTACACTCGAATTCTGAAGCTGAGAATATTGATCGAATTTGTAAATATGTAACTGTTTAACATTTTATATATAAAAAGAAAAAGAAAATTTTGGAAACGGCTAAAAATAGGCACCGCATCTTACAAGGAATAACTGAAAGCCCGAGGAGAAAAAAAAAACAAATAGAGCACGTGAAAAATACGTAACTTGTGGGGAAAAAATACTGTTAGATCACGAGACAGAGAAAAAAGCAATGTTCCATGTGCTTAATTGTTTTGATTCACGTGGGAAATTCCGTCAACTTAATATGTCTACGTACTCTCATTTTCTAATTATTTTTCTATACATATATATATATATATATATATATTTCGTCTGAAGAAAAAGAAGTTGATTAGATATATATAGGTTAGGTACAAAACTATATATATATATATATCTCACACTCACAGTTGTTGGAGAGATATGAGCCGGAAAAATACAGGCGAAGTGGTAAATTGGTGCATTGGGAAATTTTCGATAGCTGAAGATGCGCCGGAAATATATCTTATTATTTTATTAAAAGTTATAATCAAATCAGTTTGTTTTATTAAAATAAAAATAATATTATCATCGAATTTGATGTATCACCATTTTCGACTTGCGATGCTTCACGAAATAACTCGCTTTTTTCTTTGTAAACGAGAATATATATATATATATACACATATATATTTAATACCGATAATATTTATATATTTTAAATATATTCTTAACAATTAAGTTTATAATTAAGCTATAGAACATTCAATTACATTTCGTAATAAAAAACGTTAAAATGCGTTAATCTATAGTTGATATATATAACCACTAATTCCTTAACATTTTTATTTCTTGAACCGACATACATGAAAATTGTACGAAGTAGGAAGAATTGTAAATGAGTTAGTTTTTTTTTTCAAATATTTTTTTATCTCTGTGTAAGGGCACAATTCGGTTAAACCACTAAATATTTATTTCTACAAATATAAATTTTTTTATTGAATCTTAATAAACATTTATAAAAAGTATATAATTTGGACATTGAAAATATTCTAAAAATAAAACCGCATAACTAAAAGTGAACATAATTTTTTATTATTATAAAAACAAAAATAGTGCATACACATAAAATGGAAAATTATTACTTGATAGAGATAATTTTTTAAAAAAAATTCATTGAAATAATTTATTAGAAGACTGATATTTTCTTATTTTGTTTTATGCATATATATATATATATATATAATAATATAAATCTTCCAGAAATATTGAAGCCAATATTTATCTTCTCAATGTAATATATACCCTTTTTTATAACCCACATGAACAGTATTTTATCTATTTACATGTTAGGGAAAACTGAAAGGAGGAGCTTGTCAGTGAATTTACTTTAATTGTTTTAGATTAAAAAAATGGGCCCACCAAACCGAACTTATACATTATCGTAATAGGCCCATATTGTATTTAAGGCCCATAAATGAAACTGCTCAGAACGTGGATTTTCTTCCGAGATTTTCCCAAAAAAGTAAACAAGAGATTTCGCGATCAAAATTTTCAAAATCTAAAGGAGGAGAAAAAAAAATGGAGCTGCTCAAGTTATCGAAATTCAAGCTGCAGCTTCAGTCGTTGATCAGCGAAGTACGAGATCTGCGTGTAAGAAGGATGTTTTCTCCTCCTCTATGATCCGAGGATCTCCATCTCCTCCGCCGTTTGATTTCTTCTTTCGTATCTCTCATCGGTAATTTATTTTGTAGGGAAGAGAACGATCGGTCACTGATCAACTTCATCTTCTGAATCAGGTTCTTCAATTTCGATATAATCTATGGTGCTTCGATGACTATGGCTTTGATTTTGTTGAGTTTTAGAGTCACAGTCATGGTGTTTGGATGCAGAAACAGAAGCAAACCGAGGAGGAATGCAGCAAAAAGGTTCAGGAATTGAAGGATGAGTTAGACTCGTCTAGAGAAATACAGGAGAAGCTCGAGAGGAAGGTTTGGGAGATCTATTTTTTGGGGGTTCTATGTATCAATTAAGAGAAAAAGATCTGTGAAAATTCCTAAGTGAAAAATTGCAGGTAAATTACCTTGAAAACGACTATGTTTTGCTAGAGAACAAGCAGAATGAGTTGAAGGTGACTATACAAAGTTTGCTGCAAACACGGGAAAGTTTCCTAAATGGCTATCAGGTGCTCGTCTCATCGCCTGATCATATCTCATTTTACATCAGATCTTGTGTTATAGAATGATAAGACTGAAGAACATGCATACAACTATATTCTCGTTTGAGGAATCATATAACTTGATGCACTGGATCGATAATGTGTTTGCAGGAATCCTTTTACGAAATGAAACGTTCAATCGAAGCAAGGGACAGGAAGATTGTCACTCTATACGAGAAGATAAACTCTCACTTGTCATTGTTCGATTCGATCGAGAAGGAGGCATTGGCAATTAAAAAGGTCATACAAGACGTTCATCGTGTTGTGGTTCAAAAAGAAGATGTAGGCATGTTGATTACTTTTCTCTTGCTTATTCTGAAAAAAAATAAGATTTGCTTCCAACATGGTTTCCTCGGGTTCCAATACAATGATCATCTCTGACATCGTTCCTTGTATTCAGTAGCTGGCATAAAAGAGAAAATGGACCAAGTCTCTACATTTGAGAGAACGTTTATCAGTGAGTTTCCTGCACTCCTGCAAGCTTCACTAGTCATTTCTTCATTATTGTATCTGCCCTAATGCCTTCCTGGTTATTAATTTGGTCACTCGGTTTCCTCCTGAAATGGGGTTCCCGAGCTGTGGAGTTCTGAAGTGGCATTAGTACCGATCGTTATGGATGGTTCCTATGGATTGTTTTTTTTTTTGGGGCGTTCTGGCTCATACATTTTGATGTTGTGAACGCCGGTTTTAACTGGTTTCTTCCTATTCATTGATTCAGAGAAGATCAGCAATTTAGAAGACAAAATAAAAAATCAGGAAACAGAATTGCAGAGCAAGGAGTTTCAGCACAACTGGAATCAGCCAAAATAAAAAATGATTGCCAAGCTCGAGTAGAAGAAATATCCATACCAGGATTCAATCCCTGTAGCATTTGAAAAGAACAGTTTTTCCAATCTTTCTTCTGAAAACATCTGTCATGCCTGCGTTTTCTTAACCGGGTTCTTACCTTCAGAAAACTTTGCAGGCCAAAGATTTAGTTGTGGAGAAGTTGGTTTCTGAAAAAGAGGTTGGAAATGGACATATAATCAGCCTTCTCATAAGTTTTATCCTTGTGTATTTTTCAAGTTTCTCTAACAAATATTATTAATATTTAGGCATTGCATACTGAAGTAAAAAGTTTGGAGACGATTCTACGAAGGATTCAAGAGTCCATTTCCATTATGAAAGAAGAGGTGAGAGATGAATCCAGTTTTGATATTTCGATAATTGTCTATCAGTTATTGTCAGTCCACCTGGTTATCTAAGAACTTTATAGATAGATATCAAATTACGAAATCGATACTTTTAACTTAAAAGTCTTGTATTTGGTCCCCTTGATATTACAGGATAAACGGGTATTTACCTCGATACTGACATGCCAACAAGGTCTTGCAACATAGATAAAGGAAGATAACATGTCTGCTAATTTACTTCAATATAATTTTCCTTGCTAACTTTTTTGTAACGTTCAGTGACTCTTACTCTCTAGTTTAAGTACTTTCACAAGGATTCTTGACTCTGTGAATGGCTCAATAGGTACAATTACACATTTCACAGTGTGGGTGAACCTCCGAGTAAAACGCCTCCTATGAATGCCCAAGAAAACACAGGTCTGACTTCTTCTTTCTACTATTTGTAACCCCTTTATGGATAACATTTTACCAAGATCAGATGAAAAAAACCCATAGCTTAGGCTCGAAACCTTGCCAAGAATTGATCAGAGTTGAAATTTATAGAGTTTATATATTTCGACGTCAAAGTTTATCTCATAAACAAATTCTTTATTCGTATTTCACTGTACTTCAAAAAACCTCTAGGAAAATCGAAATCTAAAAAACGTTTATACACCAAAACGATTATGTAAAACTCTCCATAATTCCCGATGACCAGCCTCTTATATGCTCTTTTACTGACCGGATTTGTAATTCTCTTTTTGCAGCAAACATTGTTCCATCGCCTTCACCATTCTATCAAAAGCACACCTCGGATAGCAATTCCTTGCTAGAGACTAATCAGCTGGCTTTACCTCTGACGCCAAAGCATAATCTTGTCAGTGATGCTGTCCACAAGACTAATCATCCCGAGGCAAGTGATTCGCGATTCTCTTTGTCGCCGCATAACAGATGCACTACGTTTTCACTTCTGAAACAAACTAAACGATAAAAAAATGCCATCATCTCATAGATTCTTCTTCTCTGCTCTTCGCCGGAGTCAACTTGCTCACAACATCGGTCATCAGCTTGTGCATTAGGCATCTTCTCTAATAATAACCGCATGGTAAGTGAATATATAGACACGAATCCGCAAGTAGAAAACTTCTTCACCATGCTTATCATGCAAGTTAATACAATAGGTTGAAGTAACGTTTTCGCAGGGCGAGGGGAAAGGTGGATTTCACCAACCAGATTCAGAGTGCTCAACGACCCAACCTTTGCATAACCATTAGAACATCATCTTTGTGATATTACCACTCTATATATATATATATATATATGCCATCGTGTCCTTGTACATGCAGGTTGCGAGTTTCCGGTTTTCACTGCGCTAGTACTGTAGGAGTGTGTCTGGGCGGGTACCCAAGATTTTCGGGCCATCCGCGGCCTCAGCCTCTGAGGTATCAGGGTCATGAGTACTCGCCCTTGTTCTCAGGTATCCGAGATTTCGACACCGTGAGGCGTGGGCGAGGGCTCGGGTATCCGCGGGTTGCGAGGAGAGATTCGAGATAGAAAGGGTGAGTCGGAGGATATCTAGAGATCCACATATGAAGAATTGAATTTCAAATTCTAATATCCAGATTTGGAGACTCCGAAATTTTCGATTATTCGACCCGTAATGGTTCGAATACACAATGAATCTTTTGGCATCTTTTGATCATCCAGAGCCTTAATGAGTGATACGCCATTTTGTTTCCGCCCTTCTCGATAAATATCGATACATGATCTCTGGCATGTTTAGATAAAATTTCGACTTGGTTAATGAAAAACGATTCGAATAAAAAATAATTGTATTCAAACTGAATTCGATGAAACAACAGATGGTTATCAATTTTCTAAAAAATATGAATTCAAGTTGGGTATTAAAAAATATCGAAATATTAAGAAAATAGAGTTAATAAGGCGGAGACCAATTCGTTCAAGTCATAGGCCAATCTAGCTTGCGATAACGTTTTGAGAGGAGCGTTGGAAAGTGCATAACAGTAGCAGAAAAATAGGTTTGTATTTTGCCATTTTTTTTTTATAAATATTTTTGCCAACTCAACGGCATCAATTTAAAAAGAACATTTACAAAGATGGAGCAATTCAAACAATTTCAATACTTTAAATAATCCAGAATAAATTTAATTTTCGCAAGAATAATTAGGAATTCATCCATTCGTACAAGTACAATCCATTAAGCTGCTAAAAAATTTGGCGAAGTTTCACACTTCCCCGGATGAAATAGACGTGGTTTTGTAGTGATTCTCGACTTCCAAGCTCTAAGTTTGGAAAATGTTTATATTTCAAATCATATAACTATACGGACTCTAAGATTAGTTTATACCTTAGTTTAAAATACTCGATTAACCAAAAAAAAAACTTAGAAAACTTCCATCAATCTATTTTAGGATCTTGAATATCCTCCCACGTAATATAAAAACAAATAATTAAAGAAAAATTTTAGATTTAATTATTTCAATAAAGTGAGAGTCTCGTGATATTAATGTGCAGCTTCACAACTCCAAAACAGCTAAGCTATGGGGATAACTATTAAATGTATATATGACAAAACAAAAGAGCAATAGTTGTTTTGTTTTAGAAAGCGAAAGGAAAATAAAAATTTTCCCCTCTTTCACATTCATATAGATTCAAAGGCAAGAAAACTTCTGTATTTGTCATCATATAGATATATAATATAATAATACGAATATATGTATATATATATACTAGGTTGTGTATATTTATATATTTGTTGTAGATATTACGAATCAAATTTAATCTGAAAATCGATTAATTAATTTTTTTAACTGATAAAAATAGTGAATCTAAAATAAATTTTGTTGCATAAATATAATGTCGATCAGTGATTATTTGACCAAGGATTGATAATTTGCATCATCAAAATGATCTCATAATTATAAGTACTAATGAACTTTATTTTAAATTGAAGTAAAAGGTGATTGTGTGGTGTGTCCATTGATATGTTAAAATAAAATTTTTTGAAATCACACAGAAGAAAGAAACTCTTTTTTGAAATTTAAAACTTTTGTCCCATTATTTTTCTGTGTTTCTTCTCAGGTCCTCTGTATAAAGAAGACTCGTTCTTCCCCAATTTTCTTTCTTCACACCGCGACCGATTTGATTTTCCGGCGGATTTCATTCTCCTCAGATCTATTCCGGTGGTTCTCTCCTTCCTCCAGATCTCTCACTTCCAATCGGTTAATCGAATTCCCTTTGCTGTCCGATTGCGAAGTAGTTTGCGATGGAGGCGATCGATGAGTTGTCTCAGCTTTCGGATTCGATGAGACAGGCGGCGGCACTGCTCGCCGACGAAGATCCAGAGGAGAGCTCGTCTTCGAGACGCGCTTCCACTTTCCTCAACGTCGTTGCCCTAGGAAATGTGGTGAGTGAGTTCGTCTCTCTCTCTGCTTCTTCGATGTATCGCGTTTGGGTCTTGTGCTGTTAGGTTCGTGTCTGTTCTAGCGTCGATTTTGTATGTGATGTCGTGGATCTTCTGGATCTCGATAAGGTTTTGTGGAAGTTCCCGTAACCTAGGAGTTCGCTAGGATCCGTTGCTCGTTTCGAGCTTGCTTTATTGAGTTCGCTTTAGCTTTACCTTATTACATGCTGGGCGGGGTTGGCGTAGGAGAAACAAGCTGGAGGAAGTTGATCTACTTTGATACTTGTGAGATAGACATATTATGGGTAGCATTTAGCAAATGCTCAAGAAACCAATCTTGAATCACTCGAGATCGAAATCCTTTTAGCTGTGTTTGTCAGATTCGGTTCTTACTAAATTTTGATAAACGTTTCTTTGATACATTACAATGGAAGGTTTCTGTTGGGAGATTGAATCAGAAATTGCTTTGGGGCCGTGGTTATGAAGCTTTTTAGTCTAAGAAATGTGAATTTGTGCTATCTATATCTTTAGACCTAAATGGTCTTTCCATTCATGTTGGGATCAGGGAGCTGGAAAGTCTGGGATTCTGAATAGTCTGATTGGACATCCAGTTCTGGTAAGTTATATATATTCAGCCAATGGGCATCTGTCTTGGTTATTATTGTTTGATTCTTGTTATTCTTACAAGAATATTATGCTTTTGCTGCACATTTGTAATGGCAGCCAACGGGTGAAAATGGTGCTACACGGGCTCCCATAGTTGTTGATCTGAGTAGGGATGACTCTTTGAGCAGCAAAGCAATAATCTTGCAAATCGATAATAAATCTCAACAAGTCTCTGCAAGTAAGTATCCCACATGCAACCTATATGATTTAGCAAGTGTTTGTGTAGCTCTTTCTGCATGTGTGACATAAAGTATTGGATCAATCTTCTTGTGCATATGATATTTTCATTTAATTTTACATTGGCATACTATAGGTGCTTTGCGGCGTTCTCTACAAGACAGGCTTAGCAAAGGATCATCAGGGAGGAGCCGTGATGAAATATACTTGAAACTTCGTACAAGCACAGGTAAATTCTCTGTCACTTGAACAGTCATGCAGGGTTATATATTTATTCAAACAAGCAGCATCTATAGCATCTAGTTTTGGGTGACTGAAATGCTTCTGACACCAGTGCACTGCATGATGATTATTTATCAGTTGGTCTTTTGTACTTAGGTTCTGTTCAAACTGCCTAACATATTCTTTTTGCCTCTTAAACTTCAGCTCCACCACTGAAATTAATTGATTTACCTGGTCTGGATCAGAGAATTGTGGATGACTCTACGGTGGGTTCCTGAACTGTTTAATGCCTTTTGTCTTGCCCCTCATCCACCTTTCAACCATAGATTTTCTATGGTGGTTTCTTCGGAAATTGTTATTCTGATTCTTTGTCATGTTTTTATTGTTAATCGTCATTTGTTTCTTAATTTCTTGTGCAAGATTGGTGAATATGCTCAACACAATGATGCCATACTGCTGGTTGTAGTGCCTGCTAATCAGGCGCCTGAAATTTCATCATCCCGAGCACTGAGGACGGTGAAGGAGCATGATCCAGAGAGTGAGTGCATTGAGGCTTGCATTTTCTTCTTTGAGTACACTGTGCTGCCCTTTTATTATTGAAAATTTCATTTGTTTTACATTTCGATGCTTATAGGCACTAGGACAATAGGCATTATCAGCAAAATTGACCAAGCAGCAGAGAACTCAAAAGCCCTTGCAGCAGTTCAGGCTCTTCTCACAAATCAGGGACCTCCAAAAACATCTGATATGCCCTGGGTTGCTTGTATTGGCCAATCTGTCTCAATAGCATCAGCACAGTCGGACAGCAGTGAGAACTCTTTGGAAACTGCTTGGCGTGCTGAGAGTGAAAGTCTTAAGTCCATTTTGTCGGGTGCCCCACAAAGCAAGCTTGGCAGAATTGCCTTGGTGGATACCCTTGCTAGCCAGATTCGTAACAGAATGAAACTTAGGCTTCCTAATATCTTAACCGGGTACAGCTTCTCTCCCTCGTATTGCTTTTTCTATTTATCTTATATTTTGAATATAAAAAAGTGGACCATTTGTTTCTTCTGTTATTCTGTTACCCATCTTTTGTCTAAATTTGCTCTCTACTAAATCACATATGTTTCTCTCAGATTGAGAGAAGTACCAGTTTGATCATACTTTTTGCCTCAACGATCTAGGTTTACAAGCTCCCATCCTGGAGTCTTAGATCTCTTCTCATGCATAGTTATAGAAAGGGGCAAGGAGAAGTTTAGTTTCATAGATGAAAATTGAAGGGAAAGGAATAGGAGTAATGTTTGAAAACTGAATTTCAGCGACTTATGTCTACCTAGAACATATCATATCAAGTATTTTTATAGACTTTGTAATGGAAAGGAAAAATCTTGATATACATTGGAATAAATAAAAAAGAGAACGGTTAAGCCCACACCTAAATCTGATGGATTTCAAATTGTGATCTACATCATAACTAATTTCCGTAAACGAGGAATATATCTTGCAAGTTCATGATTGCTTAGGCATTTAGCTGATGGGTTTGCTTCTTCTCCCATTTAATGTTATGGTAGGTGTGATAGCTATTGTGGTTTTCTGGATGGCATTGTTCTTAGTTATCTTGATTACCATGAAAATTTTGGCTAACTAATTCCGTTTTGATACGTACAGGCTCCAGGGTAAGTCACAAGTGGTGCAGGATGAACTATTTAGGCTTGGTGAACAAATGGTTCATAGTGCTGAAGGTACAAGGGCTATAGCTTTGGAGCTCTGTCGGGAGTTTGAAGACAAATTTCTTCTCCACTTGGCTGGTGGCGAGGTAAGTGCTTTGCTACATGAGCTGACTGAACCATTTATTTGAAGAACAAGAATATATTGCAAGGGAGAAACCTTTGGCTTTACCATATAAAACATTAATGGTCAGCCATTTTCAGCAGCAAGGTTACTTGGAATGGGAAAATTGTTTCTGTTATTTTAGTTCAGATAAAAACAAATATGGTCAAATTGCCTTATATTTGACTACCATGTGTTTGATTTATTGATGTTGAGTTTTATGCTGTGGGTTTGTGCCAACTGAGTTTCTGAAGTGCATATCTTCTGGTCTTGCCTTTTTAGTTCAATGCTGAAGATCTTTTTGAAGCTGGGTGAATCTGTTCCCTAACAAAATTTGGTTTCAGGGTAGTGGTTGGAAAGTTGTTGCAAGTTTTGAAGGCACTTTCCCCAACCGTATCAAGCAGCTCCCACTGGACAGACATTTTGACCTTAATAATGTCAAAAGGGTAGGTTTCTATTTATTTTCTTGTATATTATGCACAAGTTACTTTTTCGTGGCTGGATTTTAACTAAGTGATCTTCAAATGCATTAGATTGTGTTAGAGGCAGATGGTTATCAACCTTATCTGATATCTCCGGAGAAAGGGTTGAGATCCTTAATAAAGGGTGTCCTTGAGCTGGCTAAAGATCCTGCACGTTTTTGTGTTGATGAGGTGGGTCTATGTTTCTGTTTATGGCTTATAATATGTTGTATTCTCTGCCTGGACATGGGTTATCTCGTGTCTTGCTGGTCCCAAGCCCGGATAAAGGAGGAGGGTTTTGCGGTAGGTGGCAACCAGCAAACTCAAAACTATGCCATATCTCATATGCAATCGGCCGACCCCAAATGAACTTGGGAATGAGGCCATGTTGTTGTTGTTGTGTTACATGCACTTGGTCTCTGCACCTATCACTTTGATGTTCTAACTCTTGACTCTTCTAAATTTAGATTGTTTTTCACATCACATCTCTGTGAAGTTTTCGCTGCATCTTATTTCTGCATGCTTTATCCAAGACTTATTCAATCATAGAATAAAAACAGTTGCATTTATCCTTCTTTCCCGATTCCCGAAGCATATTTTTCATTTTGTTTCACGGGCTATAATATGGATATGGTTTTAACTTTTTAATTAGGTTCATCGAGTCCTTGTTGACATAGTTTCTGCTTCTGCAAACGCTACACCTGGTCTTGGGAGATATCCCTCTTTTAAGAGAGAGGTAATAATGTCATTTCACTGCTTTACTCAAGTGTACTTCCTGGCCATTGTAGCTGTTCAATTTTTTTAACTACTTGGCAACCAGGTTGTAGCTATAGCAAGTGCCGCACTTGATGCATTCAAAAATGAAGCAAAGAAGATGGTTGTCGCCCTAGTTGATATGGAGCGTGCTTTTGTTCCACCCCAACACTTTATCCGTCTTGTGCAGAGGAGGTAAACTTGGTTTTCCTTCTATGCGCATGTTATATTGTTTTTTTTTATGCCAATCATATTCAAACTTAGCGATATTTGATCTTTTGTCCTATTTTCTGGCTGTGTATGGAAATCTTAAACATGTAAAGCAGATTTTCTTGCTGTGAGTATATCAATGGATTTGAACATTTATGATTTTTTTTGGTGTTTAATACATGAAAAGTTTTGAATTTTGCGGAGTATATGCTGAAGGCAATTTTGACATCACTGCTTCTGAAGCCATCTCTTATTGCCTCACTCCTTTTTGTTTTGTGCCCTTTGAACTATGTCAGTAGATAAAAGGAAAAGCTTCCATGCTCTCTCACTTCAATATGTTCTTGTACTAGCTTAACTGTGTCCTGCGGTGTTTTATGCCATTTTGACGGACTTCTTTCATTGCACCCTTGTCATGCAAGTCCAAGTTTGGTGCTTATCCTTGCATCTGGCTGAACATTGTTTCCTTATTTTCTTTAGTGTACAAGCTTGTATGATGATCATTTTTTTCTTTAATGCTGTTCTTGTCAGAGTGTCATTTCTCTTTTGCCATGTTTTTTATTACTTCAGAATGGAGAGGCAACGCCGTGAGGAAGAGCTGAAGGGTAGATCCTCTAAGAAGGCACAGGATGGAGAGCAGTCCCTTTTAAGCAGGGTTTGTTTTATTTCATAGAATCACTTTGATCCATTTAAAATGTGATGCTTCCTTGGTATAGAGTTTGATGTAGGAATTCTTGTTTCTCCATATATATCAGGCGACCAGTCCTCTACCAGACGGGCAGCCTGCTGGTGGGAGTTTAAAATCGATGAAAGACAAATCAAGTGAGCAAGATAAAGATAAAGATACACAAGAGGTGTCCGGTCTGAAGACTGCTGGACCCGAGGGGGAGATAACAGCAGGTCCTTATCCTAATAAATCTCTGCACTATGACTGTAATAGAGATCCCTTTGTTCCTGCGTCTTTTTCTTTGTATTTCTGTGCTTCCATTGGTGCAAAGGTTTTGCCTCTAGTCCAGTTCTGTTTCTTCTTTTTTCCTGTTTTTCGTGTTCTTTTACACCTTGTTATGAAATATTGTGGGAGGTGCTTTTCTTGTTACCAAACGTCCAAGTTTGTGAATGGTATGCTCTTTAAAACTTCTTTTTTGTTCTTTCGTGCAGGATATTTATTGAAGAAAAGCGCAAAAACAAATGGATGGAGTAGGCGATGGTTTGTTCTAAACGAAAAAACTGGAAAGGTTAGCATGTGGTTTAACTGACCTACTTCTCCATCAATCCAAATATACAAAAGAGGCTTCTTTGCACTTATCTTTACACTGATCACTATTTGTACAAGTTTCAATAATTTTGCCTTTTCCTGTTAAATATTTTGTATTTACTACCATTGCTCTTAATTGGCTCTCTAACATTAACCCATATACCTTCCAGCTTGGTTATACCAAAAAGCAAGAAGAAAGAAATTTCCGTGGCACAATAACATTGGAGGTAATATTTTATTTTCTTTGATCTTGTCGAAGATGTGACTGAAATTAAATTCGAGTACTGTAATGGTGACATATGATATGTTCATTGCTGTTTTCTCCCTCGCCCCAGAGAAATGGTTGATTATGCACCGTTAAAGCTTATGATATTATACTGTTGCTCTCAGTGACGAAATTTTGCGGCTTTAGATTTTAATTTTTTTTCTTTTTTTTTTTATAGTTTTCTAGGTGTGGAATTTCATTTATTGATCTCATAAACTTTATTACCGCATTCAGGAATGCACTATCGAAGAAATCTCTGACGATGAAGGAGAAAAGTCAAAGAGCTCCAAGGGCAAGAAGGCAAATGGACCTGATTCAAAAGGACAAGGCCTTGTATTTAAGATAACCAGTAGGGTTCCGTACAAGACCGTACTAAAAGGTATTTATGTATACATTAGTTATCAAAGTTTTGGACTCCTTGATGAGCGCACTTTAAACGCTCATATAACCATATATCCTTGCTTTGCAGCTCACAATGCCTTGGTGCTTAAGGCTGAGAGCGGAGTCGATAAGAATGAGTGGCTGAAAAAGTTGCAAAATGTGATACAAGTCCGAGGAGGCCAAGTGGGTGGCCTTTCTATGCGTCACAGTCTTTCAGAAGGTTCACTTGTAAGTACATTCCATACTATTCTGCTTATTCTTTTATCGTTCGTTTTCCCCCTTCAGATTTGCGAAAGATACCTTCGGTATTTGTTTCTCGTATTAATTGCCAGGAAGAACCTCCAACTTCGTTTAGAAAGATTCATTTATTCTGTTTCTGCTACGTAACCAATGTTTTTATCCGCATTGAAATGAGGTTATTACAATTAGGGGTGGCCATTTTGGGTTTCTGTTTGGTTATGTTTGGGTTGAGAAAAACCGTAACCATTGAATTCGGTTCAGGTTCAGTTCGAGTTCGAGTTCGAATTCGATTTTTGTTGATAAAAAACATTGCTCATTAAAAAACCGGTTTTGGCTTATTTTTGTATTCGGGTCCGGCTTTTTACTTTAGAAAATCATGCCCATTCGGTTTTTGTATTGGATCCAGTCCTTTGGTAATTAACCGCATTGACCACCCCTAATTGCGATGTGAAGTATTTACTGACTTTTTTCTGTTATGATTTATTCAGGATAAAATGGTAAGGAAACCAGTAGATCCAGAAGAGGAACTCCGATGGATGTCCCAAGAAGTGCGGGGTTATGTCGAAGCTGTTCTCAACAGTCTTGCGGCCAATGTTCCAAAGGTCCGGAAAAACTTTCATCTATCTGTTTTCGCATATATTTCTCGTTTTTTCGAGTCCTAAGCTTCATGTTTGTGTGTTTCCCCACAGGCTATCGTCCTTTGTCAAGTGGAGAAATCGAAGGAAGATATGCTCAACCAGTTATATAGTTCTATAAGGTTCGTACCATTTCAGTAACATTTAAAAAAAAACAGCAAAAGCTTTCATTGCTTATTTTCGGCGTTTTCTTTTCGTTGATATAGTGCATTGAGCAATGAAAGAATCGAAGCACTGATCCAAGAGGATCAGAACGTTAAACGACGAAGAGAGCGTTTCCAGAAACAATCATCAATTCTCTCGAAACTCACAAGGCAGCTAAGCATTCACGACAACCGAGCAGCAGCAGCCGCCGCTTCTTCAAGTTGGTCCGACAATGGTGGAACTGGTAAAAAAAAATCCTTCTTCCATCCCTTGTCGCCGTCACTCCCCGATCCACGGCTTAATCTTCTTTTCTTTTTTCCCACAGAAAGCAGCCCGAAAACGAGCGGAGGTTCTTCGGGAGATGACTGGAGGACAGCCTTCAACGCTGCAGCTAATGGACCTGACTCGTTGTCAAGGTATGGATCCGGAAGCCATAGCCGCCGCTCCAGCGACCCGGCTCAGAACGGTGAGCCCTCATCTGGGTCGGGGTCGAACCGCCGCACCACCCCGAATCGGCTGGCTCCTGCTCCCCCTCCGCAGTCCGGTTCGTCGTACAGGAATTAGAATGAACCGCATTTCCTTGGTACCAACCATTTTCATCGAAATTATTTTAGCCCTTACGGTCTCATTTTCTGGGACTCGTTTACAATTGTTTTCGATCATATGGTTTTTGTAGATAAATGTGAAGTCTTTACATGTATGTTTGTGTTGCAGTTGATGACTTTGGTCGGTCTTCGACTTTTCTTTCACTTATTAAAACACCCATTATAAATTCATGTGATATTAAATGGTTTTGATATAATAAATTCATGAAAGCAATTCCTGTGACATTATATATTTTGAATAGGTAACCTTATAGAAACGATTTGGTTTGTCGTAAATTTATTTTGGTTGATAAAATGTCTGTATTTTGAAATGATTATAAGATCTAATTATAATAGTGGTCGGGATATTAAGAGACATTATGAACAAATTATATTATGTAAATATTTTATGAATGACAATTGGGTATAAGAATCTTAAGAGATGTCAAACGTTATTATTGTATAGATTTAGCGTCTATCAAGTTACACAATAATTATATAATTCGAGGTTCAACTAAATATAAGAATTAAAGCGATTAATTATTTTATATATAATCGCTTTTCATCTTATATATATGTATATATTTATGTAGTAATTAATTTATTTTTATATAATAACCAAATTTTAGTTATTGTAATGTTTTTTCATTGATAACGATATCATATCTTATAAGAAAATATAACAAAACTAAATATTTTAGTTTGTTTTTTGTTATAAAAAATTAATTTGTTACAAATTCATATAAATTTAGTATAGTTAATAGTTAGTAAAGTTTTAAGTTACGTCACGACAAAATTAATATAATTGTAAGTGTATAAAAATTAAAGACTAAATTCTGTGATACCCATATTACTGGTAAATTACAATGTTTAAAAATAATTTTAATTACATTAGTAAATCTATTATCTTTGTTTTTCCTTTCTAGGCCAATTAAACTATACCATTGTGTTATTTACCTAGCAATCATTTCTTTCTTTCAAACAGTGCGTTACATGTCGGATTAGTAACGCTTATATATATATATATATTTAAAATATTACCAAACTAAAATAAATATTCAATTATCATTAATTATTATTATTGTCAATAGATATATGCTTAATTTTCTATAATATTTTGAAATTTATATGAAAATGTCAAACAATTAATATTTTGTATGTCCAAAAAATATATATTTAAATATTTTATGTAATGATTTATATATAAATACAATGACTTTTCAAATAAAAAAAGGAAACTAAGAATATTACAAAGGAATGGAAGGGTTGGTTGACCCTGACTTTATTTACGTCATCATCTGTAATGGGCCCCAGGCCCAAATATTCAAACTTTAAATAATCCCATTAACAAAGCTTTCTTCCTTCTGGTAAAATCCGGGGTTTAACTCTAATTAATTAATTACTAACTAAAATTAAACCCACAAAAGTTATAACTTGAGAAGAAACAGAACACCGGATTTGTTCTTCTTCTCCGCGTAGACTTCAAACTCTGTTTCTGTCTCTCTGATCTGATACATCATCCTCTCCCACTCTCTTTTCCTTTCGAGTTTCACGATCAATAGAATTCATCCGCGTTCGAGCGGTTGCGGAGATCCGAATCCGATTTGTTTCCTAGTTTGATCGCTGGATTCGACTCTCTCTTCTAGAGAATTTGACATCGGAGGAATCGGATTCTCGATTGGGCAATCGGATTGTGGTTGAAGATCGAAGTATATGATGTTTCGCTGAAAGTAATTTTCTGGGCATCAGTCGAATTTTCTCTTCCTGATGAAGAGATTTCCGGAAATTTGAAATCAGCGAGAAAAAGCGGAAGCAACAATGGCGAGAGGAGGGAGATTGGGGGAGAAAGAGGGAGGAGAGAAGCACATAGGGTTTCTAAAACTGGCTCAAACGCTGTCTCTTTTGCTGATCTTCATGGCGGGGATCATCATCGGCCTCGCCGCGAGCTCCCACATCGATCGCTACTTCTCCTCTTTGCCTTCGACGCACTCCACCTCCACCAATCTCCAAACGGTGTCGTTTTCCCCGAACTGCACCATCATCCATGGCGAATGCGACGCCGAGAGCGATAAATCGAGATCCAAGGGTCGGGATTGCTCGAGCATCGAGGGTTTTCTTCGGCCGGAGAATCTGAGCCATCGGATGACGGACGAGGAGCTCTTGTGGAGAGCTTCAATGGTGCCCGTGAAGGAGGAATATCCGTACGAAAGAGTTCCCAAGGTCGCATTCATGTTCCTCACGAGAGGTCCGTTACCAATGTTGCCTCTCTGGGAGAAGTTCTTCAAAGGGCACGAGAAATTCTTCTCCGTGTACGTTCACGCGCCGCCGGGTTACGACATGAATGTCTCCATTGATTCTCCGTTCCACGGGCGGTTGATCCCGAGCCAGGTATGAGGTTTCTCCGATTCTTGACTCTCTTGTCTGGTATGAGTTCTCTATTGTTGATTTGCCTTATAAGGCAAGGAAGGAGATATGCACGAATCGATAAGCCTTTTCTTTTATGGAGTTGATTGATCCCTTTGGAAATATGGTCACTGCCAAGATGATCGATCATATGATGGAAGATGAACTGTCAAGTGCTTTTAGTCTGGGGGGAAAACTATAGGGCGTGATTTCTTTTGTGGAATGATACCATTTTCAGGTTAAGTTCTGGAAAATAGCTTGACGTATAGATGATGGACTGAAATTTCTTACCGTTATTCTCTGTCATCGTTCAGTGCATTCTCCCCGTCGTTTTTGGGGAAAACATAGAGTGAAACTAACCGTGTTTATCGAACTATTTGGGATTGTTTTATGTTCTATATGCCATTTTGGTTTGTGTTTTCATCAAGATTTCGGTTGTTCCCAAATTCTCCGGGGCTTTAACATGAACATTCTTCACTGTCGTGTTTTCCGGTAAACAGAGAGTTGAATGGGGAACTGCATTGCTAACAGATGCTGAGAAGCGCCTTCTAGCCAATGCCTTACTCGACTTCTCGAACGAGCGTTTCCTCCTTCTCTCCGAGAGCTGCATCCCCATCCACAACTTCCCGACGGTATACAGATACCTCATTGGCTCAAACTACAGCTTCGTGGAATCTTACGACGAGCCAACTCGTTACGGGCGTGGCCGATACAGCAGAAAGATGCTTCCTCACATCAAACTCCATCAATGGCGAAAAGGGTCGCAGTGGTTTGAAGCTAACCGGAAGATCGCCACTTACATCATCTCCGACACCAAATACTACTCCTTGTTCAAGAAATACTGCAGGCCGGCTTGTTACCCCGACGAGCATTACATCCCGACGTTCTTGAACATGTTTCATGGCTCGGATAACGCGAATAGGACCGTTACTTGGGTGGATTGGTCGTTCGGGGGGCCTCATCCAGCGAGATACAACGCGGAGAATATCACGGAAAGTTTTATACAGCAGATAAGGAGTAACGGGAGTTGTTTGTATAACGGAGAGGTTACGTCTTTGTGCTATCTTTTCGCTCGGAAGTTTGCTCCCAACGCCTTGGCTCCATTGATGAACTTGAGCTCCACGGTCATGGAGTTCTGAGGATAAAAAACTGACTGTGTTTTTTAGTTTGTTTTTTTTTGTCCTGATCATTACAGGGCCGAGATGACACATTCACTTAGGGTTTCATTTCTCTTCTGTTTTTTTGATAGTTTTCCCAGTTTTGATCGCTTGTGTTTTTAATGTACAGGTCGCTCTCTGTCATTTGAGGAATTCTAGTTACAGATTTATGAAATACCGATTATTTTTAATACAAACTTTAATTTTCGTCTATTCTTTCCACTCTCGTATAATAATTTACTGCTTAACTGTTACACCATCGTTCCCAAATTCAATAAAATGGGTCCTGTAGATTTTTTTTTTGTTTGGATTTAACAATAACCTATAATACTTTTGCATAATAACTATATGGAGGAAAACATAACGGTCCATTATAGAGGAAAAAAATTATTGGAATCAATGAATGCATAGATTAATAACGCTCATGATTAATAAAATATCAAAGTTCTGAACCAAGTAATATTATTGAACGCATTAAAGAGAAGTTTCCATAACAAGTACCCTCTTGCCATGACTAGGGTTTGGTTATCCATAAACCGAAACCAAACCAAACCGATCTAAACAGAATAATATACCACCAGAGCCAAACTGAATTCGATATCGAACCCGAACCAAAATGAAGCTAATATAAACCGAAAAAAGCAAACCCAAATATAGCCTAACAGAATCCGAACCGAAAAACCAAAACGGCCACCCACCTCATGGTATAGAATCAAATCGCAGCTTGGTTGTGCATGTCTTCCCACTCCAGAGATAATCCTTGCATTTCTTGTTCCTGTTGCTGATGCCCGTAAATTGAACTCATCTGAGGCTGTCCAGACAGTGACTGCCTATGCTGGCCAAACATCTCGGAGGAACTCGACCTGTCTTGTCCCCACATCTGATAGGTTCCTGGAGCCAGAGTATTTGCCCTTGATGCAGCCCACGATGGTTGCTGTCCACTCGTCTGGTTAGCCCATGATGTCTGATATCCCGTCGAGGGACTAGACCACATCGGTTGTGCTCCCAGGGGACCGGACCATGTTTGTTGATGCCTCGCTGCTTGACCGGACCATGATGGTTCCACATATGTTTGATGACTTGCGGATGAGCCTGGTTCTTGTCGTTGATATCCATAAACTGAACTAGTCTGAGGCTGTCCAGACCACGTCTGGCAGTGTTGGCCAAACATCTGGGAGGAACTCAACCCATCTTGTTGCCCCATCTGATTGGTTCCAGGCACCGCGGTGTTTGCCCTGGATGCAGCTGTCTGATGAGCCCACGGCGGCTGCTGTCCACTCATCGTAATAGCCAATGATGTCTGATATCCCATTGCGGGACTAGACCACATCAGTTGTGCTCCCGAAGGACTGGACAATGGTTGTTGATGCCTCACTGCTTGACCAGACCATGTTGGTTCCACATATGTTTGATGACTTGCGGATGAGCCTGGTCCTTGTCGTTGATGTCCGTAAACTGAACTAGTCTGAGGCTGTCCAGACCACATCTGGCCGTGTTGGCCAAACATCTGGGAGGAACTCAACCAATCTTGTTGCCCCATCTGATTGGTTCCTGGCACTGCAGTGTTTGCCCTGGATGCAGCCGTCTGATGAGCCCATGGCGGCTGCTGTCCACTCATCGTATTAGCCAATGATGTCTGATATCCCGTTGCAGGACTAGACCACGTCGGTTGTGCTCCCGAAGGACCGGACCATGGTTGTTGATGCCTCACTGCTTGACCAGACCATGCCGGTTCCACATATGTTTGATGACTTGCGGATGAGCCTGGTTCTTGTCGTTGATATCCGTAAACTGAACTTGTCTGAGGTTGTCCAGACTGCATCTGGCCGTGTTGGCCAAACATCCGGAAGGAACTCGACCCATCTTGTCCCCACATCTGATTGGTTCCTGGCACTGCGGTGTTTGCCCTTGATGCAGCCATCTGATGAGCCCACGACGGCTGCTGTCCACTCGTCTGATTAGCCCAACATATCTGATATCCCGTTGCAGGACTAGACCACGTCGGTTGTGCTCCCGAAGGACTGGACATTGGTTGTTGATGCCTCACTGCTTGACCAGACCATGTTGGTTCCACATATGTTTGATGACTTGCGGATGAGCCTGGTTCTTGTCGTTGATGTTCGTAGACTGAACTCATCTGAGGTTGTCCAGACTGCATCTGGCGGTGTTGGCCAAACATCCGGGAGGAACTCGACCCATCTTGTCCCCACATCTGATTGGTTCCTGGCACCGCAGTGTTTGCCCTTGATGCAGCGGTCTGATGAGCCCACGATGGCTGCTGTCCATTCGTCTGATTAGCGAATGATGTCTGATATCCTGTTGCAGGACTAGACCACGTCGGTTGTGCTCCTGACCATGATTGTTGATTTCCAGCTGATTGACCGGACCATGATGGTCCTTTAGATATCTGATGACCTGAGGGTGTGTAAGATAAGGGCAGATTCTGGCCACTGGTTTGATGACTCGACGGATTCTCACCGCTAGTCTGATAAGTCCCGGATGGCTGTTGAACGGCTGTCTGATTAAACCAACCATGTCGCTGTTGACCTGCAGTCTCATTGGCCTGCGGTGAGAGGTGTTCCCCCATAATATCTATGTCTATCCATGGTGATTGCCGTGCGGTTATCGGGTAGGAACCTGTGGAATGCTGAGATCCGGTTTGTGGAGGCCCTGATGGAGAACGTTCTCCAATCACACCATGAGGTGGACCGGCCCGAGGTTGCCTCGGATTCAAGACGCTTTCTATATCCTCCCGCATCCCAGCTATCTCGAAAGCCTCAATGAGGAATTCTCGTAGTGCAGGAGGAACACCAATACCGTATCCTATCATCTGTTCAACTATGCCCTGGGCCATTTCAAGTGCACCAACTTCACGTAGACCCCTAACCACGCAATCATAAATGGAAAGATCTGGTTTCAGATCTTGCTCACCCATTTTGGTCAAAATCTGCACCGATTCCACGGCCATGCCATTCTTAATCAACTCCCTGAAACACCTTGCACCGAAACTAGCAACCACTCTTAAATTTGAATCCACCATTTTTTTCAGCATTTGGACAGCATCATCGAGTCTCTCTGCCTTGAGATAAGCATCAATCATTGCTCTATAGATCGGAACATCAGGGGACAAGTTTTTGGAACACATTTCCGTGAAGAACATCTCTGCCTCTGTTAACATCCCGTGTTCGCAGAATCTTGAGATAATGTTAGAAAAACCTGCAACATCCATAATGAAAGGCTTTGAACCTCCCCTTACCCCTGAACCTGTCTTCGTACCGACCTTCCTGAAGGTATCAATAGCCTCCTTAAACTGTCCAAGCTTGAAACACTCATTAACCATTATATTAAACGTCTCTGTGTTCAAGGCCAGAATATTTGGAGGACAGTGATTATCCAACATCTCATCGAACAATGCCCCAGCCTCGGACTTCTTACCGTACTTAAGTAAAACCTCCAAAAGCACATTGCAAGTAGTGGGATGCAGTCTGAATTTCTTATCTAACAAGGACTTGTAAGACTCCATGGCTTCCTTATCCTTACCTTGCTTGAACCAGTACTCCATGAATGTAGCATTCACAACACCATCGTACACCAAACATTTACTCTTCAATTCGTCGAACAATTCATTCGCTTTTTCCAAGTTGCCCATATCCAAGAACCCACGAATCAGATTATTGTATACCAACGAATCCGCAGCTTGTCCTTTGTTCAACATCTCCCTCACCAAATCTACAGCCTCATCGATTCTTCCGGTGTCAATCAAACCTTTCGTCAAGTGCCTGTAAGTAACAGGAGATGGACCAAAAGGGGCATTCGCCAATATGTGGCGGTACAATTCGAAAGCCTCGTCGACTCGACCTTCATCACAATGAGCATTGATGATCTGATTGTAGGAGACGACGTTGGGGACTATGTCAGACTGCTTGAAGAAATAGTGGAACAGAGCGATGGCGTCGCTGTAGCGCTTGGCGCGGTACATGGCGGCGATGATGGCGTTGCAGGTGAAGACCGTGGGACGGATGTTGGAGAACACCGACTCACGCACGAGCCGCGACGCTGCGTCTAGGTCCAAAGCACGGATAAGCGACTGTACTCTGTTGTGCAGACTAAGCTTAGGTCCGACGAGCGCGGACGTGGTCTCCGGAAGCCGTGGCGCGTTGGGATCACGCGGCGTCCATGGAGAGGAGGGGTCCTGCCGGAGCGCGTGAAGAGGAGGCTCGATCCGGAGCAGACGTTTGCGGCGGCGGCGCTCGTCGGCGGCTTCTTCGGCGGATGAGAAGGACATAGTCCGGTGAGGGAGCGAAGAAGGCATTGTGTAGGAGGGCATTGTAGGGCTAAGATCCGGAGGACGATTCTGAAATGGAACAGAATCATTTCCCCACCTAGGGTTTGGATTCGGGTTTGTAGCTTGATCGTCCGGTATGAGAGAAACGTTGTGGAACCGGCGATGGAGGGAGGCCAGATAACTGGTGGTGCTGGTGCTGGTGCTGGTGCTGCTGCTGCTTCGGAGACCGAATACGGCGAAGCGGCGGAGGAGCTTATACATAGACATGGCGGCGGAGGAGCAGTCACCGATTAAGGTTCTAGAGAGGGATACGGAGACGGCGCAAAGAGAACAGGAAAAATCACTCAAATAAGCGTCGCAAAGATTTCTTGGATACAACCGAAAATTATATGTCAGTTTTACCCTTCAACAAGAAGGAAAAGACGCTGCCTTACATCAAAGCAGCGCAATACCTGCGATGTGAGTACTATAGGAAGTATCGGTAAACGGTTCGGATTCGAGACGGAATGAATCGGTTCGGTTCTTTCGGTTTTACAAAAATAGGTACCAATCGGATTTTTTATTGTATTCAGTTCAGTTCGGTTTCGGTATCGGTTCGGTTCGGTTCTGGATTTTATTAAAAAAATGATAGATTTTCTTTAAAAATATTCGGTTTTTCGGAATTTTTAAAGTTCGGGTCGGTTCGGTTCGGTTTCGGGAAAATTCAATTCTCTCAAAATAGTACCGTTCGGAAAATAACAGCGGTTTCGGGTCGAAAAAAAATACCGTTTTAACGGTTCGGTTCTGTCCAGTTCCGAAGAATCGAACCGAAACGCCCACCCTAATAGGAATGGTCCGGTTCGCTATTTGATTCGGTTCATTTTTATTCTTTTGGTTTTATATAAATATATGTATTGATCACATATTATACTGTATTCCGTTTGATTCAATTCTGTTTTAATTTTCTACAGAAAATTATATTTTTCTATACTTACTTTGTAAAACATAATTTTTTTCTACATAAACTTTTAATTTGTCAAAAGATTTTCAGTTTAATTTGTTTTTTTTAATTATTGATATACTAAGCACATAATATTTTCAATCAGTTCTTAGATTGGATTTAACTCCGAAATAGTTATATGTTATAGGATTTAATTTTGTATATCCAAATCAAAATTACCATCTAGTGTACAGCTACAAATTGATAGATAATTTTTGTTGTTCATCTCTTTAAAAAAGAAAAATCATTGGAAACAATCCAAAAAGTTAATTATAGGAAAACCAAGATTTAGATTTAATATTTTATGACATGATCCTTGAATGGTTTTCTCTCGCGCTCTCGAACAGATACTTTGATTATGTGTTCTACGTGGACTTCGAAGCATCTATGGCGGATCAGGATGCTAAAAATGCACTAAGGCATCTAAAGGCATGCCCTTCCTCCGTTCGAAAGCATGTCCGAAATTCAAAGGGTGTGTAGAATTTTGACAGCCTTTGGTTTTGGTTTTGGTTCTGGTTTCGGATTAATTAGGGTTTCTTAGAGCGGTGATTTTGCTTTGATAAAAATACCATCGTTGTGTGGCGAACAGGAGCACCTAAAGGAAAGGAGGGCATACGAGGACCCGAATACCGCAACCGCGAAGAAATGGACTATTAATCTCATCGGTCGAGGGTTCAAACCTGAGAGCAACGAAACCGGCCCAATAGAGAATACGCCCCCGAGACCTAGATAATCGAAACAGGCTTGTCGCATCTCGTTTCTCGCTTGATCTGGCGATGCACAGAACACTCTGTACAGTGCACCTGCCAAAGAATTGATGGTCGATGCCACGGCCAGGACAAAAGAAAGAGAATTGGATTTCGGATAATTGTCTAACAAAGATGTAGCATTCTCAACACCATCGTACAACAAAATCTATAGAATTGGATTTCGAATTGGAACACCAATACCGTATCCTCTCATCTGTTCAACTATGCCCTGGGCCAGTTCATGAGCACCAACTTCACGTAGACCCCTCACCACGCAATCATAAACGGAAGGGTCTGGTTTCGGATCTTGCTCACCCATTTTAGTCAAAATCTGCACCGATTCCACGGCCTTGCCATTCTTAATCAACTCACTGAAACACCTTGTACCGAAACTAGCAACCACCCTTAAATTTGAATCCACCATCTTTTTCAGCATTTGGACAGCATCATCGAGTCTCTCTGCCTTGAGATAAGCATCAATCATTGCTCTATAGATCGGAACATCAGGGGACAAGGTTTTGGAACACAATTCCGCGAAGAACATCTCTGCCTCTGTTAACATCCCGTGTTCGCAGAATCTCGAGATAATGTTAGAAAAACCTGCAACATCCATATTAAAAGGCTTTGAACCTCCCCTTACCCCTGAACCTGTCTTTGTCCCGACCTTCCTGAAGGTATCAATAGCCTCCTTAAACTGCCCAAGCCTGAAACACTCGTTAACCATTATATTAAACGTCTCTGAGTTCAAGGCCAGAATATTCGGAGGACAGTGATTATCCAACATCTCATCGAACAATGCCCCAGCCTCGAACTTCTTACCGTACTTAAGTAAAACCTCCAAAAGCACATTGCAAGTAGTGGGATGCAGTCTGAATTTCTTATCTAACAAGGACTTGTAAGACTCCATGGCTTCCTTATCCTTACCTTGCTTGAACCAGTACTCCATGAACGTAGCATTCACAACACCATCGTACACCAAACATTTACTCTTCAATTCGTCGAACAATTCATTCGCTTTTTCCAAATTGCCCATATCCAAGAACCCACGAATCAGATTATTGTATACCAACGAATCCGCAGCTTGTCCTTTGTTCAACATCTCCCTCACCAAATCTACAGCCTCATCGATTCTTCCGGTGTCAATCAAACCTTTCGTCAAGTGCCTGTAAGTAACAGGAGATGGACCAAAAGGGGCATTCGCCAATATGTGGCGGTACAATTCGAAAGCCTCGTCGACTCGACCTTCATCACAATGAGCATTGATGATCTGATTGTAGGAGACGACGTTGGGGACTATGTCAGACTGCTTGAAGAAATAGTGGAACAGAGCGATGGCGTCGCTGTAGCGCTTGGCGCGGTACATGGCGGCGATGATGGCGTTGCAGGTGAAGACCGTGGGACGGGTCCTGGAGAACACCGACTGACGCGCGAGCCGCGACGCTGCCTCTAGGTCCGAAGCACGGATCAGCGACTGTACTTTGTTGTGCAGACTAAGCTTAGGTCCGACGAGCGCGGACGTGGTGTCCGGAAGCCGTGGCGCGTTGGGATCACGCGGCGGCCGCGGAGAGGAGGGATCCCGCCGGAGCGCGTGAAGAGGAGGCTCGATCCGAAGGCGACGTTTGCGGCGGCGGCGCTCGGCGGCGGCTTCTTCGGCGGATGAGAAGGGCATAGTCCGGTGAGGGAGCGAAGAAGGCATTGTGTAGGAGGGCATTGCAGGGCTAGGATTCAGAGGAGGATTCTGAAATGGAACAGAATCATTTCCCGGTCTAGGGTTTGGATTCGGGTTTGTAGCTTGATCGTCCGGTGTGAGAGAAACGTTGTGGAACCGGCGGGGGGGGGGGGGCCGGTGGAGGGAGGCCAGAAAACTGGTGGTGGTGGTTCTGCTGCTGCTGCTTCGGAGACCGAATACGGCGGAGCGACGGAGGAGCTGATACATAGACATGGCGGCGGACAAGCAGTCACCGATTAGGGTTCTAGAGAGAGATATGGAGACGGCGCAGAGAGAAAAGAAAACTCTCGAATAAGCGTCGCAAATATTTATTGGATACAACCAAAAATTCTATGTCAGTTTTACCCTTTAAAAAAAGAAGGAAAAGACATTACCATCCTTGATATTAGAGCATGACAATATTTACTTGTTCCGTACCATTTTACATTTGCTTGTTTTTTTCTTTTTCATTTATTTAATTTTACTAATAATAAGTTGATGATAATATGAAACAAATAAAAAATAAAAGTATTCTTCTAAAATATTATTAAATACTTAAAAATATATTAAAATATTAATTTAAAAATACTTATATACATTAATATTTATTAGTATCTACATGTAAAATATGGTCGTCTAATATTTTTTTTTATCATTCACCTAAATTATTATATCATGAATAATTGTATATTTTCTATTTAAAAGAAAACTATAAAAAACAATTTCTAAAACAAAATTAAATTAAATTTTGTTTATATGAACCATACTTTATTCTAAACCAAAAAATTATCATTTAAAAAATACTATAATTGAAAAGGTAAAATTAAAATTTGTTTATGTATAAAAAATTTAAATATACAATATTAAATTTGATTGTAATATTTTTTGAAATTTTTAAAATTTTAAAATAATGTATTGATAAAAATTTATAAAAAATCATTTATATTTTTTTTATCAAATTAAATTTTCTTTTTTGTCATATGCATTAAAAAATTTAATATTAATATAATATAAAAACAATCATTATAAATTAACCAAAAAAACGCATCCAATTCTTATAGTCAACTTTTTTATTTTTATTAATTTTAATTTTAATTCAATTTTAATTCAATTTTTATTCCTATTTTGAATATGTTTATTTAAAAATTTATCTATGATTTTTAAAAATTAGATATATATATATATATATGTATATATATATCACATGGTTTAAATATATAAAAAAACTAAAACTTCTAGATATGATCCTACATACGTAGCTAAATTCATATACATGGCATTTCTAAAGAAAGATAGTTCTTATGTTATTCAATCATTTTATAATTCTCTCTGAAAAAAAAAATTACAAAAGTTTTCTATCATTCGTTTCACTTTATCATATCAACCTTGACTGTTTCTGGTTACGGAGTTATTGATGGAATCATGTTTTTAATACAACAATGGAAGACTTTGTCTTTGTTGAAGATGATATGGAATTCGCAGTAACAAAAGACCATATATTAAATGTGTGTATATATGTAAGCTTGTTCAAAGCCATTGGGTTATCGAATGAGAAGTTTTCCGATATAAGTTTATTTTCTTGATGTTATTATTTATAATTTAAAGGATTTAAATATATAACTTTATTTTCTCAAACTGAATGATAAATATAATAATATATCAACTGTTATATATAATTGGTAGATTAATATAGATTTTAAAACCATGATTGAAAGTAATTTATATATTAAAACAAGTATAATTTAACAAATATCTAACTCGATTCATTATCTCCTTTATTAAAATAAATTATAGTTATAGACAGAAGTTTTTTAAAAAATAACTATAGAATATTTTTGTTGAATGACTTAAAAACCGGAAAAAGATGTTGTAGGAGTGACTAAAAAAATTTACGATTTTATATTGACATAAAATTTGTAAAATTATAAAAAAAATATTATGTGTATTTTGTTAAATATATATATGCCATAATTTGTTAATAACCATTTTACTGAAATAAAAGTTCAAATAAAAAAAGGGAATATAAAATATGATAGTCCTTAGTATATTTTCGTCCTTAATTTTTTAGTATATATTCGTAATTGATTTATTAATGGTGGAGAATAGTTTACTTGAAATTGCAAACAAAAACAACCAAAAGAAGAGAAATAATTAGAATAATGATAATGGTAAATACAAAACTAACGAATACAATAATTTGGAAAGGAAAACAACAAATTGTGTTAACGATAAAGTACTTTTTCATGATTATCAATTTAACTTTATGTTAACTTACCATCCCCTTACGAAATAAATACGGCAATAGTTTAATTAGTGATATATAAGAATATTCATATTGTTGAATGATTTTGTAAAACTTCCTTTAGCATTTCTTAAAATTTTAAATTTCTTTTACCACATTTTTGTCAAGTATCCTTATCTCAAAAGATGCATGAGTTCGAATTTGGTTTCGTTATAAAAAAAATTATGTTACAAAAATATGATCCTATTTTATAACGGATTTTAAATCGATTTGAATTATTTAAATTCAGTTTTATTAAAAATATTTATTTTCTATAAATGTTTTCAGTTTAATTCCCTTTTTATTATTGATATATTAAGTACAAAATATTTTCAATCAGTTTTTAGATGGATTTAATTCGGAAATAGTTATATGTTATTGGATTTAGTTTTATATATCCAAATCAAAATTACCATCTAGTGTACAGCTACAAATTGATAGATAATTTTGCTACTCATCTCTTTTTTTTTAAAAAAAAATCATTAGAAAAACAATCCAAAAATTTAATCATAGGAAAACCAAGATTTAGATTTAATATTTTATAAGATATCTAATTACTATATGCGGAATTGCTTTTCGGGTATTAATAGAGAAGAAACTGTTTCTTCAAGGCAACAAATTCTCCCACGATTCATTACACATAGAAGAAAATTTATTTATTGTTGTATAATATAGAAGATATATTCTTATCAGTAATTTACATTTTTTAGATTCCAAATATACACGTATATAAATATACGGATTACACATTACTATGCATATTAAATAATTGAGATTGAATAATGTCCATTTTGTAAATGAAAAAACGGTGAAAATGAAAAGGAGCCTACGCATAGGATCTCTAAGATAATTTTTTGTAATATTAAGTTTCTTATATACATATTATACATATATGATATTGTTTATATGATTATAAACACATTTAATATATATATATATATATATATATATATATATATATATATATAATGCATGTAGACGCACACAATCTACGTGTGCATGGAGACGCGTGAGAACTCAACTTTGACATCTCTTGTTTTGTCTTCATCTCCTTATCTATCTTTCTACGCTTTCTCCTGACGCCATATGATGTTGTTCTCTCTCCTTTTATACAATCATTTATTTATATTAAAATCAATGTTTAGAGACGTTTCACCCATTTAATATGTTTATATAACAAACTATGATTTATATTGGTGACAAATTTATTAGAGAATAATGTCGATTTAGGTGTATATACTTCAGTTTAGTTTTTCATTGACTTGCGTAGAAAAAACATATTTTTTCATGTGAAACAATGCAATACAAATTACAATATAAAATTTCGTCATTCTATCATGAATTGCCTGTTCTCAATCTGTTATCAGAAAAAAAAATATTTTTTTTCCTCTTCGATTATTTATTTTATTTTTTTTAATCGGTTTGTTTCGATTTTCTTTGGATTGGTACATCATTCTCTAATAAAAATTTATATTTCTAGAGTAGAAAGTATCAAAATTGAACATTAATTATCCACAAGTATTCACTAGGACAAGATCGTTTATGTTTATATTTAAATATAAAAAATAAAATTCATAGTTTAAATTTTAACCACCACAATGCAAAGAAGAGTTGAATGGTTTGTTCGTGTACCTTGATTTAAATAGCACAAAATCATTTACACGTCAATTACGTATTTTTCGTAACTTCGTAAGCATAATGATCTAACATATATATATATATATATATATATATATACACGTAAGCATAACGAACTAACATATATATATATATATATTAGGCGCATGGATTGGAAAATTCGGTATCATATCTACACATATACACACACTCCTATATAAACACCACCACGCGCCTCCAAGTATATAAACTTCATCATCATCCATCATCATCACCAAGTGATAACAATGAGTTCTAACTACGAACTCGATCATCAACGTTCAAAAGCCAAAGTTCCCTTCTCGTGGGAACTGAAGCCTGGGGTTTCAAGACCAGACGATAAACCCGGAGAGATCTGGACGAGACAGTTGAAGCTTACGCCGCCGCCATGTCAGACGCAGACACCGAGTTTTCGTCGGCATGTCGGTTACAGCGACGATTTTTTGGGGAGTCCTCTTTTCATCTGTCCAGTGACGCCGTCGTTTAGGGTTCCGAAGTCGAGGGAGTCGAGTTTCAGGAAGAATTTCGATGACCCTTTTGCCGAAGCTCTCAGAAAATGTGGAGAATTCAGTCCAGATGACGTCAAGTGCGGAAAGAAATATGAGAAGACGATCAGAAGAAGGTCTCTGGTTATTGGGTTATGGGGTAAGTGCTCGTGCAAGGTTGGTACGGATGGTTCCGAGACGGCATCTGAAGTTCGTAAACCGATACCGAACCGGAGGTGATGATTCGGATTATCAGATTTTTGGAGTGAGATTTGAAATATTTGTTTCAAAATATGATGTTAGATCTTATTGATGATTCATTTGTAATCAGAAGAAGTTTGTTTATGGTTGATATATATATATATATATATATATATATATATATATATATATATATATATATATAAACAATTAGCACATCCCTTGAAACTCTCGAAAGCTCTCTTGGAATGGAGAAAAATAATCTCAAATCAATTATAAATTTTTATATATTTATTTGAACTTTTTGAAAGTCTTACAGAAATATATAATTTTTTATTTTTTTCCGTTAAAGAAATTGACTATTTTTATTTGAAAAAAATCTGAACTTTGGATTTATTTGAAAATTTTTCAAAAGTGTAGTTATTTATATTGAAATTTTATAGTTGAGGTAATAATTCTGATTTTTAAAAATTAATTTCTTTATAATTTTTTTTATAGAATTTAAAACAAAATTATTAAATACTAATAAAATTAAATTTTGCATTTAGTATTGGCCCTAATTATAATTTTTTTCTACGATCTTTATCTTTAGTTATATATGTCTTGCAACGTGGATTTTGTATAAGAAAATTAGAAGTCTATGCATACAAATGTCTTATAGGATCGATCAAATCCACAAAAGATATATAATTGGACATTAAAAAAGTCATATAGACCATACTCATAAGATGAAAAAAAATGTCAAAATGCTTATACTCTTATAAGATTTGTCAATATATCATTAAAGATTTGATTAAAAAAATGCTTAGCTCTCGAGCTTAGCCATACAACAGAGGCTCCTTGAAATTGGCGATTCCATATTTGTTAAAATCCAGTACAGCTTCAAAAGCCGGTTTTTAAGGTAAACCGATTCGGTTTCCAATCGGTTGTTCTCACTCGATACGACTTTACAATGGCTTAGAACAATATCCAACTGGTTCTTGATCTCCCGGTTCTCAAAATTTAGCCGGTTCACTTCCTCGGTTATGTTCTCCAACCGCCTCCTTTTTCTCAATCTTGATCTTTTTGCCGATTCTCGGTTTGATATCATCCGTCTCCTCTTCCTCTCATCAGCCGGTTGGACCATCCGGTTTGTACTCACTGGTTCTTCTGATTGGAGAAAAGCTAGAAGCTCTTCGATTTCACTTCCTGTCAACTCCGTATCAGCTGGGAGATCATGAACCGGTTCTTGGAATGGAGACAATGGCCGCAGTGCTGAAGAAACCCAGTTTAATTATGAACCGGTTATTGCAAAGTGAACCGGATTGTGAAAGGGAAGCGTATTTATAGGGGACTGGGGAGAGATGCGGAAGATGTGGGACCCATACAGGGGTACTTTAGTCCTTTGTGTCTTGAGTAAATGATAAATCTAAGGGAGAAAAGATTAATTTGCAATGCTTGTCCATTAGCGGACTCGGATAAGAGGATTATATCAGTGTATATACTTTTTTTTTTTTTGTAAAAAAAGGTCAGTGGGTTTAAGTTTCTTTACATCTCTCAGTAGGGGTGTCAAACAAGGTAGCTCAGATCGTTTGAGGCTCAACTCATTTAGTTCGGATCGTTTTGGGTTCAACTCGTTAGGTTCGTTTTTTAACGAGCCAGAAAAACTTCGGCTCAGATCGCTCGCCAGTTTTCCGATCTAAACGAGCCGACTCGTTGAACCATAGATATATAATATTTTTTATTTATATTTATTCTAAATTTAACTATAAATTTAAATAAATATATAAACAATTAATAAAATTTTAATATCATTTAATATTTTCAATTATCACCATCATAATAATTAGAATATTTATAATATCAACTGAATGATATGAAAAAAAATAATATAAAATTATATTAGAGTTTTTTTATATAAATTTAATTTATTTAAATAAAAATTCAACTCGTTGAGCAACTCGCCAACTCGTCGAGCCAGGTTCATTAGGCTCGTTTTTTAATGAACTGAAAAAATCACGACTCAAATCGTTCATTTTTTGGCGAGCCACGAACCAGTTCGCGAGTCAGACTCATTTTGACACCCCTATCTTCGAATCCTCTCTCGCTCTGCTCTCTGTCTCTGTCTCTCTCTATATATATATTTATTACTATATTTATATACATACATCATACGCATAAATGAATCTTCATTATATTTGACTACAAATCTAGTTAAAAGTTCTATAATAATATTAGAATTTGGAAGAATTAGATGTGCCTTTGTTTTATTTAAACTCGATACTCTTTTTTTTCTTGCTCGGTATAAATTGGAGCTTATTCTAATTATTGTGAAATTTTCCATAAAAAAATAAGCTAATTAGTTAAATTATACCAAATTAATGTATAAATATTTTTTCTTATATAATAACACTAAAAAACATATCGAACTTTCAATTAAACGTACAAAAGTTTATTTAAACTGATTATATCAATCAATTAAGCTTTAAAAATATTATCTGATTTGAAATTTAGTATAAACTATATGTTATTATTATAAAAAACCTAAAATCAAATATCAATATGTTATAAAACTAAAAAATTAAGGTACTTTTATGAAATTCTCATAAATAATTTGTGTGGGGAAATGGTAGAAGAATAGGGTTTAGCTTAATGACGAAGAATGCAACAAAAGCATATGCTAAAAACAAAAAAAAAAACTATTTTCATATATCTTCATGACCATTTTTTTATATTTTATTCGTGAAAAAAAAAAACAAGATGAAGTTGATGTCTTTGGATATTTCTATCTTTTTTGTTTCTGTAGAAAAATGATAAATATATGCTACAAAACAGATGTGCTCTCTTTTGTTTTCACGAATTGAAACGAGGCACGAATTAATTGGATAAACTAATTACTTTAATGTCCAGAGTATTTTATGAATTTTGAAATAAATGAATTATTTAAATCAAAAGGGGAGATAGCAGAAAAATACTCGTCCACAACTAAAAAATACATGATATTTTCATTAGAGTTTATCCATTATTTTATATTTTTAATTATCTTAGAATTCTATTTTATTATTTTTAAATTTATATTGTACATCTAGATTCATTCTAATAATAATAATACAGCATTTTCGTCGCATTCGCCTATGTAATGAAATAAAACTTATTATATCTATCTTTCTACCTTTTAAAAGTCTCACCATATTGTAGGATTTATATATCCAAATCCAATTGAAATACTTATTGATTCAATTCGGCTCGTCAATGTTTGAGCTAAACAAACCGATTTGTGAGCAATTTTTTATTTATATTACTAAAATATCAAATAAAATGAGATTTTTAATATAAATTAAATATTAAGATATCAAACATAAGTATATAAAAGAAATTATATATGTATAGTCAATAAAAAATAAACTAAGCATTATTTTTTTTTATAAATTATATATAAAAATATAAATATAAATAGAAAAAACATATAATTTTAAAAGCTAAACCGGTGGTGATTAAATAGAACCCATCAGTAAAAAGATTGATTGGATTGTATCGCCTGAAATCTTGGAAATAAAGAATGCAGTTTCCATCCATTTGCCTACCTCAATTAGGAACCAATCTCCACAACGACTGCAAATTTAGGTAAAGCTTGTCCGAATATGCATAATTGCATATGATCATCCAGTGGACAAAGATCCTTTCCGACAGGTCTTCACACTGAAACTCTGTCCTATTCCATCAAAAAAAGAATCTGTTCACAGTTTGCTATCTGAAGCCGAATTAGTTTCAAGACATCATCGGACCAAATATCCGAGATTTGTATCTGACCAATCGATCTGATCCATCATCATCGGTTTGCTATCTCAGGGACTGATGATATAATGGGGGCTTACATAGGCGGAACTCCGAGGGCAAACCGTTTAGGACGTGCAAGTACAACGCAAGGCAGACGGTTACCAATACCGAAGATTTCGTTCCAACGCTTCAACAGCCCGACCTCCCCTTTCCGAAACCTCTTCCTGAATCACGTGGAAGCTCCTCCTGAAGCACTGTAATGTTTTCAAGATGATGAATCCGATGATTGATCTCGTAGTTTCGAGGGTCACTCTTCCTGTTACATCCAACACATTGTTTCTCGGGATTGCCAATGTAGACGTCACAGCCTCGGTCCACACGATATTACGCGAAAAGGGCTTGCCCTTCAAGAAATCGTCCTTCTTCAGACGAGTTTCTTGGCTATCCACCATGATTGAACAGGCAGAGCTTGCATCATTAGATTTTGAAGAAGACTTCGTGCGATGTCCTCACTAGGGTTTCGAGGGCTCCACTACAGACTGAAACAAGGATGTCCCTTACGCTATCTCGATGCTTCGGATTCGTCAAGCCAGCGAAAATCTCATCGTAAGAGTTGATTCCGACAGTCTTCTCGAGATATATACAGTGACCGCTGTGGTTGTGAATCTCTGAATGCAATCTGATAAAAGCTCTCTACACTTCTCATCACAAAGCAAACTCACCAATCTCGGAGTTTTCGACGTTGTTCCCGAAGAATCTTTGGCCGTAAAATCCAAGAACACGATTCTTGGCAAAGCTACCAACTACAACAGAGATGAACCCAGATCCTGCATTGGAGAAAACCCTCTCCATTACTCTATCAGCAAAGCTCGAATTCGAATGGCATGAACCTATAAATACCTCAAGTTCCAAGCTATACCCTCTTCAGATCCCGATTGTCACAGCCTCTGAAATCTTAGCAAGCGAATTCGTGAATTCCTCTGATTTTGTGATCTTCGAAATCTGCTTCAAGCTATTATTCGGAATCTCATCGGAATCTGAATTAAGAAACTCCTTTAGTTCTTGAGATACGATACTTATCGTCTCTGCCGATTCGGAGACCAGTTCGGCAGCAGAAACAATGGCTCCGAAGAGCTTCATCAATCGTTTCTTCTTCATCTCAATTGACGGTGAATTGTAAACCCTATAAACGCCATAGGCCAAAACTCCGAAAACTGCCAACAAGATGATCCAGTTTCTTTTTTTTTTCGAGGAAAATACCAAACCTCTTTACCCAGTTGAAGAGGGTCCATTCAAAACCACAACAAACCAAAACCATACAAAAAACCTTAGGATCCCAAGAAACTCCGTGATTCAGCGGAAAAATCCCAAAATTCGGAAACCCCCGAAAAAGGGGTAGAGAGAGATTTCCTCGCTGATCGAGGAGTCTAGGATTCCATTGATCTTCAAATTGGCAATTGGATCGAGAGTTCTGAACTGGGGATAAGATCATTTAAATTCCCATACCGAGGGAGACACGTTTAGACAATTCGCGCACCACCTTTACGACGTCGTATTACAGTGTACCCCAAATAAAAAAACTTCAACACTGGGCCATTAACTATAATAATAATAAATATCTGGTGGATATATATGGGCCACCATACTTAAGCCCAAAACGGCGCCGTATGTATTATATGTATATATATTTATTTCGCTCCGATTGAATCCTTTTTCCTTGCTTTCTTTGCGTATTGTACTTTTGTTTCACATCAATGGCGGTGCATGTAGTTCGATTGCCGGCTACTCAGGTTCCTGGCGGAATCGTCGGAAACCAGTCGGGGATTGATCGGAAACCGATCGAGATTGTCCGATTTGGTTGCGGATCTTCGAAGCGGTGGCGGAGGTTAGCTGTGTCGGCTTCAGTTCGGGGAAACGATGAAAATGGCGGAGATAAGTCTGTTGGGGCTCTCGAGATGCATAACGTGTTAGAAGATCTACCTTATGATGTATTTTCCAGAGAGTCGCCTCTGCTTCCGAGTACGAATTCGATATTCCTAGTCTCCATTTCTGTGATTCCTTTGCGTCGATTATTTTTTTTCCTGTTTAGGTTAGGGTTCTGTCTCGACTCTCGAGTACAGCTCAAGAACTTGCGATAGTAGATTGAAACTTGCGGCGATAACTAGTGAGACGACATTCTAATTACGACTACTGAAATTCAGGCTATTGTTACTGAGTCCTTAGCTACATGAATGAAGTTTCTGTCACGGTCACCGGAATCTGCTTGCCCTAGAATGTGTATGGTCATAGAAATAACATAGAAAAGTCATTGAAGTATTTGTAGAAAGCCTCATCCTGATAAGAAACGCTAGGGATTTATTCCTGCTTAATCTATCTAATTTCGATTTCAGAGCCATTATCTTCAAGTCAGCTGGTAGAATCCGTCTCCACTGGATCTCGGGTTCGTGTGGCTTATCAGGTAGTAATATGAGTTTATTTATAAATGAATCTGCAATTGAGGAACATATAATGGATTTTGTTAGGTAAACCAAGGTTAATTGTGCTAGTTGAGCTTTGATTTCTTATTTAGGGAGTTCGGGGAGCATACAGTGAATCAGCAGCACAAAAGGCATATCCAAATTGCGAAGCTGTTCCATGTGAGCAGTTCGACACTGCATTTGAGGTGTGAATCTGGTCCCTGGGCCTGTATACGCTTCGTTGTACTGTTTAGTTTCTGGTCAACATGTATTAGCTTCTGATAATGAATCTGGTGAAATTCACAGCCAACTGGTAGGCATCTGTTTTCTCCGTCTTTGGTTTTATCTTCTCTGGGTTTACATGAGATTATGAGTAGTTTTAGTTAACCTTTTCCGGAGAAAAATTGCCCATTTTTGTTTATCACTTTAAAAGTTCGTATGGTTGATATGTAGGACATTTGATACTTGGCCCTTTTGTGAAAACCAGTGCTCAATACTCGTTGCAGTTGTGATCTTTCCATTACAGAATCTCTATACGATAAGCTAGTCATGGTATTAAAGCAACAAATAATTTAGTACTTGGTTGAGCAGTAAGCTGGTCATGAAGTAAAGCAACACACAAGTGTTTGAACATATCTTATGCCTTTACTTGTGACAAATTTCCACCTTTTGATCGTGTTTAGGCTGTAGAGCGGTGGCTTGTAGACCGGGCAGTCTTACCAATTGAGAACTCTTTAGGTGGAAGTATCCACAGAAATTACGATCTTCTGCTGCAACACAATTTGCATATTGTAGGGGAAGTCAAGCTTGCGGTCCGTCATTGTTTGTTGGCCAACCATGGTGTTAAAACTGAAGATCTGAAAAGGGTGCTTAGCCATCCACAGGTACACAACGTGCCATGTTACTTGTACATAATCCAGTTCTCTCCCCCTTGGCATCATCTCAATCTTGGTTTTGCTTAGCCCAGGCTCTCGCTCAATGTGAGAACACACTGACCAAATTGGGGTTGGTCAGAGAAGCAGTAGATGACACGGCTGGTGCTGCGAAGGTAAATTTTTGTTTGAAATGTCTTTAGATTCACAGTTTAACGTAGCATCTAATCAAGCTTATGCGATTAATATATAGTATGTTGCTTTCCACAAACTAAAAGATGCGGCAGCTGTTGCTAGTGTGGAGGCTGCAAAGATATATGGCTTGAATATACTTGCTGAAGATATCCAGGTCTGTACTAGAGCTTCAAAAGCTTTATCGTCACTTCGTACATTTATATACAGAGGGATCTGATTGTCTAAATCCGTTTTCATTCAATTAGGACGACTGCGATAATGTTACTAGGTTCTTAATGCTAGCAAGGGAACCGATTATTCCTGGCACTGACAAACTCTTTAAGGTGAGGAAGGAATCTGAATATATCTTTCTGTATATGGTATGATCTATGATGACTGAATATAAAGCTAAACTTGCAGACAAGTATAGTTTTCTCACTAGAGGAAGGGCCTGGAGTACTCTTCAAAGCACTTGCCGTGTTTGCACTTAGACAAATCAACCTCACAAAGGTTTGTTTTTACTCTCTGGTCTTTCCCCTGAAAATCCGTCACTTTTTGAAACCGTATTGTATTGAGGCAGTTCTGTTTTTTTTTCACCATAATCGCCAATTCGTTTTTGCTCTGTCCATCAGATCGAAAGCCGTCCTTTAAGGAAACGACCTCTTCGGGCGTCTGGAGACAACGGACTGAAGTAATTATTCTGCTATAAACCCCTTCAAAAAACACTTAAAACTGGAATGATGGCATGATCCTTGAATGGTTTTCTCTCTCTCTCTTGAACAGATACTTTGATTATTTGTTCTACGTGGACTTCGAAGCATCTATGGCGGATCAGGATGCTCAAAATGCACTAAGGCATCTAAAGGCATGCCCTTCCTCCGTTCGAAAACATATCCGAAATTCAAAGGGTGTGTAGAATTTTGACAGCCTTTGGTTTTTTGCAGGAATTCGCTACGTTTTTGCGCGTTCTGGGAAGCTATCCAGTGGACACTACGATGCTCTGAACGTCGTCCTCGTCGTTTGTAAGTAATTCAGTTTCCTTTTTTTTTTTACCACAGAGGAGATTCTTTATTTTACAGAGAACAAACAAAGGAATCGTAGTAGGCGCTGTTAATTTCTAGTTCAAAACCTATTTTCATTAACACTACAAGACGGGTAAGTTTTGGTTCTGGTCTCGGATAATTGTCTAATGATATGGCCAGAGGAAGAAGAAGAGGGAAAGGGGTCCTGAAATATCAACGGTAATCGATTATATCGAGAAAACTAAAGGGATTTATCGTGTGATACAGAAATGGTACAGTTTCATTCAGTGAATGGAGGGATTAATTAGGGTCTTTTAATGGTGATTTTGCTTTGATAATTAAAAATACCATTGTTGTGTGGCGAACAGGAGCACTTAAAGAAAAGGAAGGAGGGCATGAGGACTCGAGGAGGGAGACGTCACAGGTTCCTTCCACCATATGATTTTTTTTTATTATATTATTATCTCTGAATAATTTCTTTAATTTACTTTTTTTTTTTTTTTTTCCTACGGAGGGTTTAGTTTCACTTACTGCTTTATACCCAAATCACAAAAAAAAAAAATCTTCGATACTGTTTTTTTTTTCTCACTTTTTTGGAGTATTGTTGGTAGAAGTATAAAGGGTAGGCGGTGGATTGCTACTGTCGTGGTGTTTCGCCAGAAATGCTTTTAAATTGGTTGTAATAATCCAGAAACAAAGTTTTATATAAGAAACGCTGCTCAAAACACCTATTTATGTATGTATATTTTTTAAAGTAATTGTTTGATGTTTTAAAAGGATGGTATTGCACGAATTTCGTGTAATAAGGGGATGGCATCGTTGAGAGATAATTAAAATACAGGAACAGAAGTAACGAAAGCTTTGTTTCCAAGGGATTGTAATTTTTGTGATGAATCCCAATCCGCCCACCATTCATCATCATCATCATCATCTTCATCATCATCGTTTATTGAGTTTGATGTGATAAGAAAGAGAAGAATAATTTCATCAAAAAAAAAAAAAAAAGAAAGAGAAGAATAAGTGAAACAACCCTTGAACGGGGTTTCTTCTAGAACATTGATATTTAGAGACAGAGAAAAGGAAGGAAAAAGAAGAGAAGATGGACACTTCCGACATGGCGCCCACACAGACCTGACCTGACACACGTTTGTTCTTATCTAACAACGCTTTATCACCACTATACAAAACCTAATTCGACGTTATATCCAAAATCCAAAATCCTCTCTTCATTTGCCTCAACTTGCTTCGATCTTCCCTTGATTTTGATCTCTCTCTCTCTCTATATATATATATATTCATTTGCTTCTTTTTAACGTTTTAATAGTATTTGGTATGCAAATGGTTAATTTTTTGTAATCATACATTTGAGTATTCATTTATTTGTTTACCTTAATAACCGTTGCTGTTAAAATTAATAAATAAAAAAAACAAAGGTATTAAAACTTTTAGAGGAGAACAAAAGGGGAGGCGGCGTGTGAATCATTTAACTCTGAACAAATCGTTATTGGTTTAACGTAGACTTTTCTAAAATTACCAACCCTTGTACCGTACGATTGAGTCAACACATTTTGGTTCCCACTCCAAACCAATTTTCACGATACATACATACGTACGTACATCACGTTATATACATATATATATATATATATTAAAAAATTGATAATTTCGCTTAAACATCTTGTAAACCTTTAAAAACGCATATCCATGATCCATGAACCATACCCAACAAAAAAGGTAGACAACACAAAAAAAGAGAGAGAGAGAGAGAGAGAGAGCATGATGATGAGAAGCAAGGGACAAAACCAGAGCAGCAACAAGTTCCTCAAACTCATCTCCATACCCATCAAAGCTCTCAGCAAAGCTCGTGATCTCTATGTCCGAAGCATCACCGGCTGCGCCTCCCGGACCCACTTCTCCTCCGCCGCCTCCGCTTCCGCCGTCTTGCCCAGACCATGTATCTTTTTCCCGCGAAGCAGCCGACGACGATTACAGCGAGCTCGTCAGAGCAGCCTCAGTCAGGAGCTTGGGGCATAGGAACGAGATCGACATGTTCTTGCAGGAGCAGCGGCGGCGGCAGAGGAGCCGAGTCGCGGCGGCGACGGCGACGGCGACGGCGGCGGAAAGAGGAGGGTTGCCGAAGAGTAGCAGTGTGGGGATGGCGAGGATCGTTGAGGAAGATGATGAAGGCGAAGGGTCTTTGAATCAGAAGGTTTCTGATAGATTAATGTATCCAAGAAGCAGATCTTATGCTGTTTCAGGGAAATCCCAATTTTAATATTTAGTTTTTGATTTTATTTGTTCATGAAAGAAAAATGTCTAGAAACAAGAAAATTGTGAATTTCAAGTTTAAATTTCTTAGGAAAAGGAAAAATGTTGATTTTTTTTTTATGTAAAATGAGATTGCAAAAATTTCTATTCGTTGATATATTGTACAAAATTTTAACAGTTTCAACAGCAGCTATTGAAAAATGCTATTTTTAATAAAATAAAAATAAAAATATCAAAACCGAGTAAATTAAGATTTTGTATTTGCTTTTAGTTTTTTGGATTATTTTATTAGAAAGATGAATATAAATATATAATATATATATATACACATATGTATGTATATGTATATATATATTGATTTTTCTGGACCTTTTTGTGTGTGTTATGATTAGTGGTGTGGTGGAGTAAGGGCGTTGTTGGGTCACAAATCACGGGAAAGTTTATGAATTGTTGTTTTATTATTTTGGTTTTTAGTTTTACAATATTTTTTGCTGCCACTTGTAATAATTTCATATCAATTGATTGTGTTTCGGCCACGTAAGCTCTGCTTCTTACCAAATCCGACATTTTGTAAAAAAGTTGCAATTAAAATAGTTAAAACATCTTTGATCAGCGTTCGTCCAAATATCTTAAACATAATAAATTTATTTTATGCTCTTTTAGTACTCATTGTCCATCATTAATTTTATATCCAATCAAAACCAAAGCCCTAATTATTAAATACTTTTTTCTGCTTGATGAATCGTAATCGAATCATTTAGTTTTAGTCCAGAAAATTGAATTGAATCAAATAATATTCATACATATTAAAAAAGAATTCGATGCTAAAGACCAATTGGCATGATTTTCTAAATAAAATCAAAATAATCTATATTTAAGTCAATCAAATATAAATAATAAAAAGTATAATTTGAAACTAAATCATTTTTAATAAAAATCGAAACAAATGTAATGTAAGTTTACAATCAATTGAAACCTAACGTAAAATCAAATAAGTATGATTTTTTAATCAAATATATAAAATAATCAAATCAGAACTATACGACTCCTGGTTAAAGTTTACGAATTTAACGAAAACACGGTTTGTGAATTTAATCTGTTTGCCCGGTCTTCTTGATTATGGTGTGGACCGACAGTTCTTTTCAAACATTGTCTTCCGCCATTTCAACCGCTTACCAAATCAAACATTTTAACGCTGCATTTAAAATATAGCTTACGAGTTTGACATTATTATATACTAAAAAAATATAGCAACAAATTTCAAAATGATTTGAATTATATATCTGACTCAAGAGAAGAAGAAAAAAAAGTTTATCCAATGCAAAAGTCCAAAAAAAAAATAATTTCTCTCACCTGAAAAAGCCCCTTACGATTCACTTGCCAAAAAAAAAAAGAAAAAAGAAAAAAAGAGGAACGCACTCACAAAGAGAGAACATTACTTTGTAAAAAAGTAAAGTGGAACTTACAAACAACACTTATGATGTTTTTGTGCTCTGCCATTCGGATGGGGGAGGAGGAGCTCTGTAATAAGCAGGGACTGTTGCAGGGAAGAACATCTGCCTCACTCCTTCGGCTCTTATGATCGGAAATATAATCCCCGACGCTGCCTGCGATTTTATCCGATAAATTACTCGGTCAACCAAACGCGCACATGTCGAAAATACGACTGAATTATGATCGAGAAGATTAAAATGGCGAAAATAACTGTACCGAGATCAATCTCGCTCCGATCCATAAGCGTTTAGGCGAAGGGAATGGGAGTAACAACCTTCCACACCCGAATACCGCAACCGCGAAGAAATGGACTACTAAACTCATCGGTCGAGGGTTCAAACCTGAGAGCAACGAAACCGGCCCGTTAGAGAATACGCCCCCGAGACCTAGATAATCGAAACAGGCTTGTCGCATCTCGTTTCTCGCTTGATCTGGCGACGCACAGAACACTCTGTACAGTGCACCCGCCAAAGTATTGATCGTCGATGCCATAGGCTGGACAGAAAAAAAAGAGAACGATTTTAAAGAAATTGACTTTCGCGATCTGAACATTGTCAATAAAAAGCTTACTATGCTTAGGACGATGATTTATGATTTTACCTTACGCAAAGTGTAGAACGATTCAAGATATTTGCAGAGACTGGGAGCGTCATTAAGGTCCCGCAGGGGCTTAAGAAGATCGCGTAGGACGACAATGTCGGACAATGCAACGGTCATTCCTCCCCCGGTTAAAGGATGGCGCATGTTAAATGCGTCTCCCATTAGTAAAGCCCCGGGAGTAGGATGAGGCAAAGCGGGCATGCTTCTGTTCGGCATAGACTTGATGTTTCCTTTATCGATCGCAGCGATGAAAGAGTTGTAAATCTCGGCGGGTATCTACAACAGAGGATAGAAATCACCTTAATGCATGATCCTGCAAGTGAAGCAATTATCTTTCGCGGATCTAATTCGAAACGACTATTCACGGTGATGGGGGTGGCCAATTTAGTTAGCAACCGAATAATCGAATTGATCCAAACCGAACAATACCGAACTGAATTAAAAGAATAACTGAAAAATCTGAAAGTTTATTTGAAAAATGAATATTGTTATCAATAAAAACCGAACCCACGATAGAAACCGAACCAAATTCAATATAAAAATTGAATGTGTACAGTTTTTTTAAACCAAAATAACTGAACACGAACCGAAACCCCTAACATGAGAGATGTCGTGAAGAGAAGAAGTGCATAAATAGAGTTGTTACCTGAGGAGCCACGACATTCTTCAAGTAGTATGCCATTTCGCCGCTTGCAATAGAAGGCACTTTCTGACCAGGAACATCGACCAGACACCGGACCTCTGTGCTACTAATCGGATAGAGCAAAACCGGCGAAGGATCGGCTAAGACAACATGTCCGTGATTTTCGTATGGCAGACGACAGTTCTCGAGTACCAAGCCGACGAAAGAAGAGGGTACCTCTACCTGCATGAGATAATACCGATAGTACAGGGAATTGGTTGACCAAGACATTGCATTTTTACTCTGACCAATGAAGGTGAGAGAACAGGTTCTAATATGATGGATTAAATCTGCGTAGGAAAACAATATCGAGCATAATCTTACCTTGGGATTGCAAAGAGAGCGGCGAAGGTTAGAAAAGCAACCGTCACAAACTATAGTCAAGGCTGCAAATGCTGTTAGCTCTTCTCCAGCTTTATTCTTATATCTCACACCTTTGATTGTGCCGTTCTCTTCTAGAAGAGAAGTAACAGTTCCTTGCTCTAACTGAACACTGTTTGAAAGATTAGTAAGAAGAAAATTAGCATGAATATGCTACAAAGGCAGATTATCTAAGTATCACTTCAGCTCCAAAATCGTATAACAGTGTCGATGATCGAATCCGAATGACGTTCTATAACTAGATAAACTTATTATTAACAATATTCAGAAAATTAACAACATATGTTCCGCGCATCTTCATTTTATATCTGCTTAAAATATTATATTCTAAAATATCATGTAAAGACTTACAGGCAGGATAAAAAAGATCTTCTATATTTTCGAAATTTTGGTAATGCAAGCAGAAAACAAGTGAAAGGAGCAAAAGGGGAAAAAGGGCCCATACAAAGAAAGGCTTCTAAAAAAGGGGAAAGACGTACTTGGGAAGAGAAGCAGCTTTCCCTCGCATCCTCTGAATAAAGCGCCCATTGTGAAAACTCCTTCCGGACACATCCGAGTGAAACTTCTCCAAGGGATACGCCAGCCGAATGCGTTTATCGTCCTTGAAAAGTGCATAACCATACACACGCTGAGCATCTATTTCCTCCACGCAATCTGCATAAGGGTATACTGTCATCATTTACTGATAAGCAACCATAAACAAAACGGGAGGGAAAGGATGACTGCTCCACGGCTTACACATGGTCCTCAAGTAGAATTTTCCCTACCTTCAAGTCCCAACTCCAGTAACTTGAGGTAGCCACCAGGTTGTAATAACTCCCCAACAATCCGAGCTGGCTCTGACAAGTCTCTTTCAATCACATGTACTCGACGTTTATCCTGCATATCAAATTGCAGAGTAATTCCCAATTAGGTCACATTGTGAAGCAATGGATGTCATTCGAAAATGAGCATAGAAAATGCCTAAACAAGTACAAAATTATAGAAGTACTTCATTATTGTAGACAAAAAGGGAAGAAAAAACAAAAAATCTAGAACCAAAGTTCTATGTTGTTTCTTTTGGTCGAAATCCATCCAATTCGCTTTTGCATTAGAAGTTTAGAACACGGTATATGCCATCGAAGTCGATACACAAAGCAAAGTCCTTACAACGCTCAAGGCAGCAATTAGGACCAAACTAACTTCACTCATGGTATCATCTCACACAAGACAGATCAGAATCTCAATTAGAAATACTACACTCGAATTGTGTTACTTCAGCAACGTGGTCAAACCCTAACCTTTAGTAAAATTATCCTAATGAAGTTTTTTCCTACCTAACGGTCCTAACCAAATAAACTTGGGCGTATTATCATAATCATAGAAAATGCTGAGGGAGAGAAATCCCGATTTCTAGGTGTTTAATTTTTGAATCCTGTTATTTAATACTTTAAATAGCCCATAAAGTCAATCAAGGATCATAAGTTTCAAAATTTCATCAAAAATAAAACTCAAGACTATTGTAGTTGACCTTGCTGATGTCCTCGAGGAGTAAAAAGATGACGAATCCAAAGTACCTGAGCATTGCGTGCAGCAATTTACTTTTCATTCGGAGATAATTTGCGCAAAACCAAGAATTTGAACAGAACATTTGATTTGAATTTTTGTTTCTCGAAATTTCTGCGTACGACTGCACTCTTAATCAACCAAAACGAAGAAGAACAGAAACTTATTATTTTGAAAAAAATATGAAATCTCCAGTGCCCCTAGGGCTTTTCTAAACAAGTTCATAGCGATGCTCATACCAGACTCGAGCCGATCAATCACACGAATTGTTTCAATACGGACAAATAATCAGAATAAACCAAAGCACACGACGACTAGACATAAACTTGAATCCACTTGAATCAGAAAACATTCTCCCATCCCTCCGATTTCCTAATTCCAGTATATGGAAACCAAATCCGCAAAAAAAAAAAAAATCATCGTCAACCTAATCGAAGAGGAAAAATGACCTTTCCGAGAGTGTAGGCGAGAGCTGAACCAGCAACGCCGGCTCCAACGACAATGACGTCGGTGGCGGAGGATCCAATGTCGCCGGAGAATGCGGAGGAGGTTCTATCGAAATCGATCCTCGCCGGAGTTCGGTCTCTCGTACGGCACAATCTCCTCGGCTTCACGAGAAATCCGTAAAACGCAGCGATGGCGAGGATGAAGGCCGAGATCCAACCCCATGGATGAGGGTCCATCATCGTAATGCGGAGGATTTCGACGAAGGAAGGAAGGGGCAAAGGTTATACTGACTTGTCGTCGTCACGGGGATTTCATGCTTTGTCGTGATATCGCGCTGGCAAAATCAGTCGTTTACTGAAGTTTGCTGTTTTTGCAGCCCACCGAAACGCTTTCACACGTCACATTTTTCAATATATATATTTTTATAAAAATTTCATATTTTATAGAAAAAATCTTAAATCAATTAAATCCGAATTCGTAATTTATTTAATAAAAGGATGAACTAATGGGGCTTTATCGCAATTGTTTACAAAGTGGCTGTCAAAATAATATAGTGACAAGCAATCATACACCAAATTGCAAATATTAGAAATATTTTTCCGACATTTTTAACCTTTAATTTTGTTTTTATTTTATTTTAGAGGATTCTTCCGTCTTTTTCCATCTCCGATCAGTCTCAGTGTACTTCTCTTCACAGGCCGGGGAAGTCAAGCGCCGTTCGTCAAGCTTCTTCGTGAATCCCCCATGGCTGCGGAAGCTAAAGCTCGAGGAGCTCGCTTATCGGACATTGATGACGACGAACTGGATGAGGAAGCTGGTGAAGAGATCGAATCGGCTCCGCCTCTGGAAGTCGGAGAAGAGAGAGTGCTTGGCGTCTCCGGCGTCAAGAAGAAGCTCATCAAATCCGGCATTGGATGGGAAACTCCGGAATCCGGCGACGAGGTCACTGGTACCCACTCTCTTCGGGTTTCTTCACTCGCTTTTCCTTATTCGCTTGCGTTGGTTGTGTTTGTTTGATGAGAAAATTTTTTATGGCGAGAAACTTTGGGGATAATTTCCTCTGTTTCATTCTTTTTTTTTTGTTTCCCGATTTGAGTTTGAGTCAGGTCCTGTTCGATTTTGCTGGTACGTTTGCAGTTCACTACGTTGGCACTTTGCTTGATGGGAAAATCTTCGACTCGACGAGAAATGGGGATGACCCTGTGACATTAAAGATTGGAGAAGGTGAGATTTTTGTGTTGAAATTTTGGTTCTTTCTCTTCTTTTTTTTTGGTTGATTTTCGTTGTTGCTCGAGATTTTAAGAACTTGAATCAGTTTGTTTTCCTTTGCTTAAATTGATGATGCTGTTCGTGTTCTGTAGCTACTATGATTCCCCGAGGCTTGGAAAATTGTATTATAACAATGAAAAGAGGGGAATGTGCCTTGTTCACATTGCCTGCTGAGCTCGTTTATGGAGCTGAGGGCCATGAAAACGTGCCTCCCAATTCCATTGTTCAGTTTGAAGTCGAACTTATCTCATGGATTTCTGTGGTGGACCTTCGTAAAGATGGTGGTATTATCAAGAAAATTCTGCAGAAGGGAAATAGAGATCAACGCCCTGGTGATTTGGATGAAGTTCTTGGTAAGTACATGTTACTCATGGCTGATTGGGTTCCTTCTGTATCTTTTGTCAACTTGTGAATTATGTCTTTGCTACTTTGGTTTCATGGTTTAATCATATGCTACAATAAAATGAGTGATTGTTTTTGTTGTTGCAGTACGGTACCAAGTGGAGCTTGTTGATGGTGCTGTTGTAGCCAAAACTCCAGAAGAAGGGATTGAGTTTTGCGTGAAAGACGGTAATTTATTTTTTACACCCTCTGGTTTAGAATTGTGTGTAGGTTTTTCGTTTCAATTTCTAATTTGTTACACTTTGGTTTCTAGGCCATCTATGTCCAGCATTATCAATAGCAGTCGTGACCATGCGTCCAGGAGAAAAGGTCAAATTGATTGTTCAACCACAATGTACGTCTTGGTGCTACTTCTAACCTTTAACTTTGGTGGTTGAAAAGTTCTCTACTTTTAACCTGATATAAGTGCAGACGGGTTTGGAGAAGAGGGAAGAGATTCTGGTGGAGAGATCAGTGCTGTTCCACCAAATTCCATCCTAAATATTGATTTAGTTCTGCTTTCCTTCAAGCCTGTTATTGATGTTTCGGGAGATTCAAAGGTTTACAAGAAAATTCTGAGGGAGGGTGAAGGAACACTTGTTGCAGATGATGGTGCAACTGTAACTGGTATGTGTTTCTAGGATTTATTGTCTTATGGCCGAGTAGTCAGTTGCATGTTTAACACATTGGAAAGGAAGGTTTAAAAGTTTAGGTTGTTAAGTTAGGTCATGCTTGTTTAGAATTTGAACATTGCTGTAGTATTGCCATTTTACCGAAATTCATCCTTGGGAAAACAAGGAAACTTATGCAGAAGGATTAAGATAATTAAACTTAATTCTTACATTTGTGTATATGAGATTAGAACTTTCCATCTGCATTTCGAAACATCAAGTGGTTATTTCTTAACAAGGGAAAGTAGTATATGAAACTCTATAGATTTGTTACCCAGTGGAATGTAAAGCCATGAAGATACCGTTTCAAATCTTTTCAACTATAGTGCTAAAACTGGGAAAAGTGGACGAGAGAGATGAGCTTTTACTAATTGTTGAAGATCCCTTTCTCTGTGACTAGGCATGATAACACCTCACAAACATGCTATTTAATCGGAGTTTGCATAACCGATTTTGAGATTTATGCAGTCAGCTATGTTGCAAAGCTCGAGGATGGCACAATATTTGAGAAGAAAGGAGCTGACGGGGAGCAGTCTTTGGTTTTTGTGACTGATGAAGGTCAGTTCATCCATTCTAATCATGGCCCTGGTCCTACATCTGCATATAATCTCAACATTATGACAAGGTTGAATTGCTTAGCCAATTCTGTTTTTTGTTTATAGAACAAGTGATCCCTGCCTTAGACCGAACTGCATCAACAATGAAGAAAGGGGAGCAGGCAGTACTAACAATAAGTTCTGAATATGGTTTTGGAAATGTGGAAGTTCAGCGGGATCTTGCTAAAGTCCCTCCATGTTCAAACCTGATATATGAAGTTGAAATGTTGGACTTTGTCAAGGTAATAACTAGCACCGGAAAATTACAAACTTGCCTGTAGTATCTTCCCGTGAACTGGGTTTTCTATAAACTGGTGGTTCTGAGATTCTAAATCCTGTATATCCTGAGCAACCTTTCTAGATTCTGTGATGTTCATGAAAGCAGGAGAAAAGGCCATGGGAGATGAATAATCAAGAAAAAATAGAGGCTGCCTGTAGAAAGAAAGATGAAGGCAATCAGCTTTATAAAAATCAAAAGTACCAGCGAGCAGCGAAGAAATATGATAAGGTAACTCAATTGCAAATTTATACCTAACGATTTTAGGGGAGAGAATTACCTATTGTAATTGAAAAACTACAATATATCTGAATAAGTAAGGTCCCATTGTTAAGCTATCGAACGTGATCTATTACAAAGGGTAAGTTTGCTGTGGCAGGGGAGATAGATTCGCTTCTGCTACACATTGATAGCTCCTCCTCCTGCTTTCTACATGCGTCTTGTTTTCCTGTATGCATAGGTTGTCTCGTACCTTTGACATTGAATTCCGGGTAAAATACTCCAGATTCATCACCTATTAGGATAATATCTTCGGAATGAACAATTAAGATGTGGTCTTAGTAAATAAAGCATGATCAGGTTAACCAGTCAAGATTAGCTATCACATACAAGATGTCCCAGGTAATGTGACAAATGTCCAAGTTACTCAATAAATGCAATATTTTCAGTATGCATTAATTCCAAATGAGCAGGTAGATCTCTATATACTTATGGTAAATAATTCGTCGGTTTGTTCATTAAATACTTGTACGGATTTCTCCGATTTCTCAAATCCCGGGTATGATTTGACAGCCTCTTCTTTGAGACTTGAACTACTATACCATGGAATTTAAGATAGATCTAGGTTGCTCCTTTCGTTTGTAATGAGCAGAAAGCCCCTAAACTAGTAGTAGATCAGGCTGAGCTAAATCCCAAACATTCCCCACTATATCTGCAGAGTTTTAGATATGACACAGGAAAATAGAATTGGATCACGCCTGTGTTCTGCAGCAGCTCCTAACTTTAACTTTGCAGAGAAATGATAAACCAGGCAGTACAAGTTAATTCAACAATTTCTTTTGAATCCCTGAACAATTCTCTGTGTTGTTAACAGGCTGCTGATTGTGTTGAAGCTTGCTCCTTTGGAGATGATGAAGAGAAGCAAGTCAAGGCTTTGAGAGTGTCTTGCTGGTTGAATGGTGCAGCCTGTAGTCTCAAACTAAAGGATTTTCCGGAAGCTATCCGGTTGTGTTCAAAGGTAAATAAGTTAAACAAAAGGAAGTTGACTTGTTCGCTTCCTTCCAGTGTTGCTTCAGTTAAGCTTTTTTTTTTTTGTGTTTTCAACAAGCCTTGTGTGCACATCTGTGTTGGATGAGTAGGAAATGTTTTCCAGGCAAAAGCACAGCACTTAGTAAATCTTAAATCATAGTATCTTTTCCCTTTGCTATCCATGTACATGTCTTGGAAATTCACAAAATTCGGAAATTCAGTGTTTGAAACTCTAGAGCCCGAAATTTGTAGTTTGATGGGATTGGTAATGTTGATTACCGTACAGAAAAAAATGTGCTGGATTCTGGCATCTGGGTCATGAGTTCTAAGGCAGATGCAGTAAAACTGTATGTGAATCTCATGGTGGATCATTGTTGCAGGTGTTAGAAATCGAATTTTTAAACGTCAAGGCATTATATAGACGGGCTCAAGCCTATATTGAAATAGGGGATTTGTTTCAAGCCGAAATGGACATCAGAAAAGCTCTTGAGGCTGATCCTGAGAACCGGTAACTGTTTCCGCATAATATTCGATGTTTCTCCTGGGCATTAACATAGTAATTGACTTTATATATATATGTCCAGGGAGGTGAAGTCACTAGAGAGGACACTGAAACAATCCAAAGCGGAGACTGACAAAAGAGATGCGAAGCTTTATTCAAACATGTTTAAACGTCTTGCAACAAAAGACTCCCTTGACCTGTCTGCACCATCCAAAGTGAGTCCTTTCCATCCTTTTCTCTCGCTAGGGATGGACACTGGTCGGGTATCCAAGATTTTCGGATATCCTTGATGTCCAAACCCGAATTTTCGACTTGTGTTTTCAAGCATCTTAATCATATATTCGTTTCGTTGGTTCTTTTTTGCTTACGAAAGGGAAAAAAAGAAGCTTTTATTCAGTTCTTATGATTAAAATTATTGCTTTCGCAGAAATTAAAACTTACAGAAGCAGGAGAAGAGGAAAGGGAGATGAAACATGACGCGGACTCAGCTGCGGGTGATGCAGAACATTCCAACGAGTAGGCCTATTGAACAGTAATGGTGAAAGACGAGAGAAATCTTTGTACAATTCAGGTGAAGTACTAAGAAAAGACATTAAATTTTTGTTCTCGTCCTTCTGTTCTTTCTGTTAAAGAAATCTGTAACTATGTATGTGTAACTTTGGTGAATATCATTGTGAGATTTTAGCATACCGACTAATTAGATTTTAACCTATAAGGAGTATATGTGTATTTCTTGTTCGTATTGCTTAGTTAGCCTTCATCTCTTAGGCTTGGGGTTACATTCCAACCAAAATCAAGGGAAAAAGAAGTGTTGAGTTGGCATTCAGACCAAATGAGTGCATTAACAGCCAAGAGACTTCTGACAGAATAGTTGGCAAATCTTGTCAGTCAAAAAATAATTACCTACACTTACATACATACATATATATATACACACACTCTTGTCAAGGGGTCCTTCAACGAAGACAGAGAAAATGAGCAATGGAAAGTACCATAATATGGGGTCAAAAAACATGGTAATAATAATTTATGTAAGAAAAAAGAAACGGAGCGGCTGAAGCAGTTAGAGTCTGTCTTTATTTAAATCACAGATATAACGTCTCCTGTCTAGCAATAGCTTCCACAAGTAATCAAACGGACCCCCCCCCTCTCTCTCTCTTAATTGATTTGCTTTTTCTCTCTCTATTTCCATTAACATAATTATTTTATACTGTTCATTTGTTGTGCCTTTGGGTTGGAATTTGATGCATCATTGCTGTTTGTTCAAAGTATCCCCACAACTTGTGTTCTTTTCCATTTTTTCGTAATACCCAATTCAACGAAATCAGGATTTGATGCTCTTCTCTTGGGTGTGTACTGTCTCTCTCTATATTATCCAATTTTAGGGCACTGCAATTCCTTCGCATTTGATTCTTCTGTTATGCTCTTTTGAGATACAGCAACCCATCCCTGAGAATCCTAAACAGGGTTTGTGTCCATTTCCTCCGAAAAAAAAAAAGAAATGGATTCTTGGTTCTGTGATTCCAAAGACTTGATTTTGTTCTATACCCACCATTTTCCTTGGTCTATATTCATCTGGGCTGGTCTTTGAAATGCCAAATCTTTCCACTTTCTTGAAGCTGAAGAGATCGATTGAAAATTTCTATATTTTCTCAGACAGTCACTTGGGTCTCAAAAGGGAATCTTCTTTTGCCCTGTTAAGCCTTGTGACCTGTAACTTAGCTTGAATCCATGGTTTGATTTCACTTTATGCTCTGAAAGTTCTCGCCTTTCCTCTGTCTATTGATTAGTGTATCTCTATCTTTGTTCTTGTCGTTTGACTTGAGTGAGAATAGGGCATTGTTCGCTTCTGCTACATTTGATTTGATTCTCTATTGTTTTGGATTTCTTTTTTTTTTAAATTTAATTCGCTCTTTTTGTGTCAATGGGGCAGCTTCATTTTCTTCTCATTTTAGTCCCATCGACCAGTCTATAAAAAGCTTCACTTGCTCCTTGTCAAGTCTTGCAAGCAATCATCCCAACTTTTGAAACACAGTTCCTTGAAAGAGATAATTTTTGGGGTTATATCTTTAGGGTTTCTAGGGCTTTAGCTACTGAATTTAGAAGAATGGATGGTGAAATTGGGTCTAAGCATGGAGATGAAACAGGGATTTCAGAAGTTGATATGATATCAATGCCCTTTTACACAAAGGCGGATCCATTCTTCCCTTCTGCAGATTGGGATCATGTTGTGTCTGCAATGGTCTCAAGCAATGGCCTCTCAAGTTCCCATTGCATTTCTTTGGTAACAGACAATCAAGAAATGAGTAGTAGCTTTGCTCATTATGAATCGGGTTCGGGTTCGGGTTACTTAGACATCTCGACAAGTCTTCGTCCTTATCGAAACATGCCAGAATGTAACCAAACTGCTCATTGTCTTGGTTCAGACAAGAAGGGTGAGAGTGAAGGGAGATTGATGAGAACAGGGGAGGAGGTCCATGAGGGTCATCAAGTTTCAGAAGATGGTGTTCTTGGTGCTTCCCCTTGCAGAAAAAGATTGCAGCTCGAAACCAAGATGGTCCCTTCTTTGCAATGGAACAAGGTAATTACAGCTATATGGATTATTTCGATAGGGAGCCACTTGGATTAGAAAGTATCAGAATTAGTGCAGACTAAGATATCTACTTTGAATTAAGGAATTCAATGAGACATTTCAATGGCTTGTGATCGAATTAGTGATTGTTACTTATGACAGAAAGCTGTGGAGGAATCTCGGAAGGACGATCAAATCGAAGATCAAAGACAGAAGAAAACCGAATCTGAGAGGAACATGGTTGAAGATTCCGGTGCAAAGAAACCGACGAATAAGAAGAACTCGGGGAGCAGAGAACCTCCTAAAGAAAATTACATTCTTGTGAGGGCAAGAAGGGGTCGGGCAACTAGTTGTCACAGTCTTGCAGAAAGGGTAAAGCCGTTTTATAGATTATTCGCCTATTATGATTATGTATTATCGGTTTTGAGAGATTGGTTTTTGTTGCGCCTTCAAGGTTAGAAGGGAAAAGATCAGCAAACGGATGAGTTTGCTTCAAGAACTCGTCCCCGGATGCAACAAGGTAAAAGAAAAACTAAGAAATGAGATCTTAGTAAGCTTTCTTCAAACGGTAGTTTTAGCCGATTTTGGTGTAAAACACTTAAAAGAGAGAGTTTAATGAAGTTTCAATTGACTAATAACATCGCAAATGGTTAGAATAAGTTGTTTCATACTCGAAAACAACAGTTTTATGATACTTTCGCCGCTTCAAATTTTAACGTTTTATATCAAAATTGGACAGAACTTCAGTTTTAGGATTAGGATGTTGCCTAGCTGTTAAGTTGATTTATACTTTCATTTCTTGGCCGAAGAAACTTAGCTTAAGTCTTATACGGCGTTTAATATCGTTGAACCAGATCACGGGAAAAACAGTCATGCTCGATGAAATCATCAACTACGTCCAGTCACTACAACAGCAGGTCGAGGTAAAGATGTTATAGTAACCGTACTATTTAAGTTCTTGAGATGCTTTTAGTTATGGTTGGTCCATGAATTCTAATCAAACTTTTAATTTTCCTGTTTCCAGTTTTTGTCCATGAAGCTTGCAACTGTGAATCCAGAACTCAACATTGACATAGACAGAATTCTCGCCAAAGACGTAAGCTTTTAGTCTTTAAAATGAATATTTTCTGCAAGTTTTATGAGAACCACCCAATTACTTTCCTCTGTTTCAGATTCTTGGTTCAAGAGACAGAAACAGATCTATGTTTCGGTTAAACGCTGTAATGAATCCTCTCCCTCCTTTCGGCATCATTCAAGGCACAATACCGAACCTCCTCACAACGAATCCACAATTAGATCCAGCACCACAGGTAAAGGTGATCATGGGTCGGGTATCCGAGTTTTTTGGTATTTTTCAAAATAGATGTCATATATTAGGAGCTGATTCGGGTCAGATATCCAGATTTTCGGATTACCAGATCAACCTGAGATTTCAGTAAGTTGGTGTTTAAAATCTTTAAAGCCTAGAGACAGAAAAATCATTTTCGGATTTACTTCACGCTATAACTTGAGTTCACCTGGTATAGTGTTCGAGTATCCGAAATTCAGATTTTTTTGGCCCAGCCCTAACCACGGGCAAGCAACAAGCGAAGAAAACCCGGTTTGATCTCATGATTTGTTTTACCTCATCGTCAGTTAACTAATCTTGTGCAGACTGAACCAGAAGCTGAAATACAAAGCCTATATCGAATAGGGTTTGTCTCAAATTCATGAAATTTGGACAGTTTCACTGCAAGTGGTGAGTTATAAACATGCTGTTCTTCTCTATCTTGTTCTTTTGTAAGATTCAGTATCTTTTCTTTTTATCTGATCGATGAAAAAGATGCTTTTTACACTCCAAGGGACCTCTAATGCATCTATGGCAGAGAATCAAGATTCTAAAGACAGGAAAATGTACTTGGGTTTTGTATAGATGCTGGTATTGGTTCACTTATGTGTTTGTTCTTCAATGTTTTTGAAGCAGAAAAAAATGGAAATGGTTTAAGGTTTATAATGAAGTTCCATTGGAATCCGGTATCTCACATCGAAATCGAAATCTATAGAAAGTCCATGTGAATATCTTTCTCCAAATTTTGAAATGACAATGAGCCCGTGCCATTGTTGTGATTCGTGAATGTGATAAATATTTTGTTTCTGTAAAGTTTAAAATCATTAAAACAAATGCATTGGCTTTTTTTTTTCTTTTCTATTTTTTACTATATAATATTTTTTGGTAAACTATATAATATATTACAACATCTACGGTCGATGCTCTCCATAATAATTTTAATCTGCGGTGAGATTGTACCTATTAATTCTTTAAAACAATTCAAATTAAAAATATGTACATATATATATATATAAGTAATTAGATCTGGATAAAATATACAAAAACTTGCAGAAGTATAGAGTTCACAATTAAACTTTACTTTACATGAACCATATATTAGGAATTATAAATTATTTAATTATCTATAAAAGCTGCCTTACCTAACATTTTTTTTTATAATTTATATGAGAAAAAGTTGGTATCCTTTCTTGTTGTCCTTTTCTTAGCATATTACAGCCAAACCGTGTTAACTGTTAACCGACACTGATTAGAGCCACGTGTCTTCATCTGAACCGTTAATTTGAATTAATCGGTTACGTAGTAAAGCATGCTGCCTTCCGTGGTCGCTGTCGCACGATATCAAACGTGTGACAATCGCACCGGCCTTTGCCTGAATGCCACGTGGCTTAACCGTTGCACCCGCCATGATGCTCTGCTCACACAACGTGGCATTCTTTTTAAATTAGTTTCTTTTTTTTCCCCAAAAATATTTCTACTATATTATATTCTCCTTTAATCAAATTTCATCTTTTGTGGTCCTTGAAGTTTTGAAACAAGGAACACGAACAGCGTGGAATCGAGTTGTATCGCAATTTGGAATTTTCTTCGCGCGAGGAATTAGGTTTCTTAATCACTCGATTCGTGTTCTATAGGTTCCTTTGAAGTCTAGGCATAGTGTTGGCTTTTTCGCGTGTAAGTTATGATTCGAAATCTATTTTTTTAAATTGTAATTCGATCGATTTGATTGGCATTTCGTCTCTTTTGTTCTTTCTTTTCGCTTCGATTTCGGGAATTGTGCGCCTTCAGATAGAACTTTGGTATTGCTTATTGTTCTAGAGCGGTTTTCACGTGAATCAAATTCTGGGCTCTGATGGAATCTTTTCTCTTGTTCATGATTTCGATGTCTCGTGTATTGTAGTAGTAGTAATTTGAAGTTCATTGAATGAAATTGTGGCCCGTGATATGAATTACGTGATAATCTATTGAGTCCTGTGATCGAAACTTGTGTTTTGGAATTGAGTTCGCACATCAAAATAGTCTGTTCTCGACCCTGCAAGTATATGAATCCATTTGAAAATTTAATGTATATTGAGTTCATCCAGTTCCTGTCGCATAACTCAGAAATTTGAGTCTATTGTGGACTTTTTTTTTTTAATATCAAATAAGACACAATAATTAGCTCGTAATTGACATTTTTTGCTTGCTTCGGTGCAATGGCGTTTTAAGAATCAAGATTCTTATGCCTTGGATTAGACACTTTTGTTTCCTGAAATATAAGATACCAATCTGTATATTGTGGACTTTTTTTTTTTTTTTAATATCTTCCGTTCTGTTTGGTTTTTCCTTGCAGCTCCTTTCCACCTTGAGAGTCATCTGCTTGCTTACATCACCTCATGGCAGCTACGTTGTCCTGTTCTGTTTTCATTCGTTAGTGAAAGGGGTGTTGGACAGAAAGAGTGATGGACATATCTGCTCTTCTAACATCTGCTGGAATTAATATAGCGATATGCGTGGTGCTTCTGTCATTATACTCGATTCTTAGGAAACAGCCCGCCAATTATTGTGTCTACTTTGGCCGAAAGCTTGCTAATGGAAGAGTTAAACGTTATGATCCTTTTTGGTACGAAAGGTTTGTGCCCTCCCCAAGTTGGCTGTTGAGGTCCTGGGAAACCACTGAAGACGAGTTATTGGCTACTGCTGGTCTGGATGCTGTGGTTTTCATCAGGATGGTCGTTTTCAGGTTAGTGGAAGCTCTTCCAAAACCGACAACCCTATCATTCACTTCTACTTCTTTCATGTTTCTTGCTCTTACTTACTTTTGACTTTACATTTTTTTTCCTATGCAGCATTCGTCTGTTTTTCATTGCTGCTATTATTTGCATTGGCCTTGTATTGCCTGTTAACTATTATGGGCAACAGATGGAGCACAAGGAAATCCATTTGGAGTCATCTGATGCATTCACAATTGAGAACATTAAGGAAGGCTCAAAATGGTACAAAGTGGTATCGTCTAAGAATATGCGTTTGTTTGTGTTATTTCTGCCTAGTTTTATTCTCTGTCTGCGAAATTATATTGCGCCATACAAAGTTTGCACCGATCTTTTTAGGAAAGATAGTTCATATTTTATACAAAGAATGTGGAGTATTAATTTTAATTTTTGTTCTTGTTATATGCCAGGCTCTGGGCGCATTGTCTTGCATTGTATGTCATATCGTTTGCGGCTTGTATTCTTCTCTATTTTGTGAGGATCTTTTACCCTGGTTCATCTCATGCACACTCATATCTTTTCTTTTGATTGCGACTCCTTTCTCCTTACATTTTCTCTTTGTTTCATTTATCTCCCGTCCTCTGTATGTGTTTTTCTCCACTGTAGGAGTACAAGAGCATAGCAAAAATGAGGCTTGCATATATTACTGGATCTGCCTCGAAGCCTAGTCATTTTACAGTTCTTATCCGTGCTATTCCATATTTTCCTGGACAATCCTACAGTGAAACAGTGACCAAATTCTTCACAAATTACTATGCATCGAGCTATTTGTCGCACCAAATGGTCTACCACAATGGCATCATTCAGAGATTGCTGGTATTTACACTTTGATTCTTGGAACATCGATTTTGTACTATCAATTAGTGGTCTTTTTTATTTTGGCACTGGCTGCTGGGTGTTGAAACCTGCTCAGCTATCTCTTCTGGAAAGTATCTTGTCAAATTTGGACTTCATATCTACTAGCCTTTATTCCTTTTTGTTATGGAAAAAGAGTCTAACATTGATCTTTATACTTCTGAAAGTCCTTCGGAGGAGTTATTAAATTTTCTCCCTTTTATGTGCCGCATAACTACTCGTATATGGAGTATCATGTGTTATTTGACTGTTTTTGAATTACAATAACGAATAACCTGGCATAAAGTCTAAATTTTTATTCCTTCATCACTTACACGTGTTGCAAGTTCCGGGCGATAGGTTTTTGATGTGCATTCTCGGATTCTAAATAGATCTTCATCCGTAAAATGTATCATTTGTCTAACGTATGGTGCTACTCTGTGTAGTTCCATAACTTCTGATACTGAGTTTCTTCTGATATGACATCAGTTTCTTGTTGGTTACATGCTACGAACTGGAATACTATCATTATTATATAAATTCAGTTTAGGTTCATCGATCTGTGAAGTTCAAGAATGAGCTAATAATATGATCATTATTTGTGTCAATTTCTGTTTCAGCGTGATGCAGAGAGGATGTGCCAAGCTATAAAGCATGTTTCTCCAGATGTAAGTTGTAAACCCAGTTTGACTCGATGCACCTTCTGTAGCGGGGCTACACCTACAAGTTCCTTTCATATCCTTGCTCACGAGACAGATAGTAATAAAAGCATGGAGCTTGGTGAGTTGTCTTTGGCTACAACAGAGCAAGTAAGGAACTCCTGATTTTGATATTTGTTGTTTCTTCTGTCCAGTGGAAAGTTCGGATTTTATAGCACAACAAAGGTAGATTCTTTTCTATTATCACAAGATAATCGTAAATTCGTTGCTTTTCTTTCCAGCTTTGGACCCAAGCGTGAACTGTTGACTTTGGTTTTAGGTGTACTGAGACAAAAGACGATTTTTGGAAATAAATGATAGAGCCATATGGTTTGACAGTCTCAAGAGCTGCTATAGATCTTCCTTTTTTTTTTGTGCTGAATTAGAATTTAACAGTTGCTTACACTTTTAAGGAGGCGTGATTTAGTATGGTTTTATGATGAAATCTTTTTGGGCTGCTACTGTGCAGGAGCGTCCATCTGCTTTTGTCTTTTTCAAGACACGTTATGCTGCTCTTGTTGTTTCGGAGGTTCTTCAATCACCGAATCCTATGTTATGGGTGGCAGACTTAGCTCCAGAACCTCATGATGTTTATTGGAGGAATCTCCGCCTACCTTATCAGCAACTATGGATACGGAAAATAGCAACACTTGTTGGTGCAATTGCCTTCATGTTTGTGTTTCTCATACCTGTGACCTTCATTCAGGGTTTGACTCAACTAGAACAGCTCTCCCACGCATTTCCTTTTCTAAGAGGCATTTTGAAAGGGTGAGTATCATGCAGCTTTCTTGGCTGCGTAAGAACTAATGTTCAGTTCTGAGCCTTTTTCTTTTGTAGACCTTTTCGATATACCAAAAAACCGAGCAATTTATTGTTATATTTACATGACTTGAAAACAGAGTCCTGTGAATTCTTAGTTGTAAAGACAGAAGATTCATTTCTCAAGCTAATCAACTGTTTAAAACGTTTGCAGGAGGTTTATGAACCAAGTCATCACAGGGTACTTACCAAGTGTCATCTTGATACTCTTTTTCTATGCGGTTCCACCCACAATGATGTATTTTTCGACATTGGAAGGATGTGCATCACGGAGTAGAAGGAAGAGAAGTGCATGCATCAAAGTTTTATATTTCACCATTTGGAATGTATTCTTCGTGAATATTCTTTCAGGATCGATTATCAGGCAATTAAGCGTGTTCTCGAGTGTTAGAGACTTACCAACGCAACTTGCCAAAGCAGTGCCGACACAGGTAGTTTTTCCATGATTATTTCTCTGTTAGATTCTGAAATTTTCATCTGTACTATCTTAATTCTGAAACCACCGGCAATATCTCTCAGCTTGATTTTCTATTATTTATCAGTGTCCTTTTTGCATAACTTCCTCTCCCTCTCTCTCTCTTACCCACTTTAATTCCAATTGTAAACCATATTTCTGAGAGTACATTATGATTCCCTTGTTCCCCATGTCTTTAGTCATTTTTTCATAATAAATGAACTGCTTTCCAGCCTTTTTTAAATTCTGAACGATCATTGATTCTCCGCAGGCTAGCTTCTTCATGACTTATGTTTTCACATCAGGTTGGGCCAGTTTGGCATGTGAAATCATGCAACCCATTGCTCTTATCTGGAATCTGGTTGCAAAACTTATTGTCAAGAACCAGGATGATTCGTATGTGACGCTGAGGTTTCCGTATCATACTGAAATTCCAAGGCTACTTTTGTTTGGGCTCCTTGGTTTCACCAATTCTGTCCTGGCGCCTCTTATACTGCCATTCTTGCTGATCTATTTTTCCCTCGCATATCTTATATACAAAAATCAGGTACATATTTCGATGCCAAGGCGCTCTGATCACTTTTACATAAATATCTGTCTGTAGTTACTAATGAAGCTCTATAAACATGGATCTCTCGTCATTAGAGTCTTAGCTGCACGGCATAACATTATTTTGTGTTAGTACATAATTTTTTATGGCTTTTTTCTTCCTTTCTGGATTGTTAGCTTTCAGATATAAGATGCAACCTTGCTTGGAAGCATCATCTAGTGTGTCCTGAATGTACCTGCTTCTGAATCTCTGTGATTAATGATTTACGTACATAAGCTGGTTTTGGATCTAGGCTCGTACTTTGAGTAGATTTCAATGTGGGTTTATCATTACGATCATCTGGGTAAGACCCTAACGTCTATGAAGTTTCTTTTTTCTTTCAGATACTCAACGTCTACATTACCAAATATGAAAGTGGTGGACAATATTGGCCTATTTTCCACAGCACAACACTGTTTTCATTGATCCTGACACAAATTATAGCGTTGGGATTTTTTGGATTAAAGCTCTCGCCGGTGGCTTCGGGTTTCACCATCCCTTTAATTCTTCTCACTCTTCTTTTTAGCGAGTATTGCCGGCAGAGATTCTTGCCAATTTTCAAGAAACATCCAGCTCAGGTAGACATTCGTGAGGAAAACATGGGTATTTTACTGGTTTGGATATGCACATCTCCTGGGCTCTTGATAGGTTTTGTTTTGTGTTGCAGGTTCTTATAGACATGGACAGAGAAGATGAGCAGTCAGGAAAGATTGAAGAGATACACAAAGTTCTGCAAACTGCGTATTGTCAGATCCAGTTATCCTCCCAGGAATCGAGCAAAGCTGGGAGCAGTGTTCCTTGCTCAGATCCAGAAACACAAGATCCTGAAAATATGAATCAAGGTTTCTTTTTTTTTTTTTGGGGG